GAATCTCGTCTCGAGAAAGTGATCGGTTTTCACATAAAGGAAAAATTGTTGTGTGACCACATCTGTAAAAAGAATGATACCGGGTCACCTTTTAAACTAGGCCTTGTTTCGTACTTGTTGCTTGCAAGGCCAACGTACTTCCCTCCCCATAACAGTCGATCGGATTGGAGAAGCTCCATCGATCTCACAGTAGACTGGTGTTCCCGGTGCGCACCTAAGTGCATTTCTGCAGTTCATCACTTAGTGCATATCCTGAATTATGACCTCCACACATTTGAAGCACTTGATCCGCCCTTCAACCACGGTACCCCCAAAGATGATCCTCTGTCTAGCATTACCTATGAGCATTCAAATTCTGATGCCAATCGGATTATTGCTGGCTGGGCATCAATTGCCACTAGCGATACATATATTACATCCAAACTTTATCTACCCTACCGTTGTTGGGACATGATGGACCCTTTCAAGATGCACCCAAAGCCATAATCATTATTTGTATGGCAAAGATATCCTGCGCAGTTCTCTTGTGTGTGTTTTTCGGCTCATGATAGTACGGTATAATATCGTTATTGATTCTAACAGCTTCCCTCGAATATGCAATACATGACCCACACAGACAGGTTTTCCGAATTATAATAATTACTGGCAACCATTGGCTAGCGGCTGGTGTTACTATTCTAACATTGAAACATTACTTTTCTGATCATCAGTTTATACTCTGTTTGCTTTCAAATCAAGAGATGGAGTTGAATGGTGTTACTCGCCACCTACATACGTTATTGAGTGAATGTTCTATGTGGTTCTGGCTTGCGGTCGAGACATTCCGACGATGATAACGAATTTTAAAGAAGAAGTCAGTACGGCGATCACGTATCCGCGGTTACTGTCGGCTGCCTTCCATGGCAATGAAGCACGGAAATATATTTACTCGCCTCCAACAATTGATTTCCTCGATCAAAACACTCAACACGATCTCTTTTGCTGCATAATTATGTCGTTTTGGAGGCACGCGAAATGTTTTGAGCCTCCCTGTTCGCCCAGCCATACATACAACTCACACAGACTTCTCGTAACGTAGAGTAAATATTATATAAAAATTAAAACAACTAGTAGAGCACTTGGCTTAATACTAGAAGAAATACTCGGATGGTAAGCCCATAAGTAAAGAGATAAGGAGAAAAAACATGGCCATGAGTCATCAAGCAACTATCCACGACTTAGGCCTTGACAGATTATGCTAGCATAATTTTTCGCATAATTCCTACCAAAATCGAATAATCGCATAACTCGAGGCAAATTGCATACGAATCGCGTAAAATTGGAATTATCCGCCTGTTCGCATCAAATAATTAATTCCATACTTATACAGTTGTACATGTTCTACAACAGGATAAGAAAGAGTCAGAAAGTGCGAAAACAGGCCACAAAACTGACAGGATACTGTCTCCGTAGCTTGTCAGTTTCCTTCTTCCTTTGTCTGCACTTGTAGTAAAAATGAGTAACACTAATGTCTTACTGGATCCCCCTAAACTCGCCCATTATCACCAAACCACTGACAATAATATTACGCAGACACTTACATCTGCCCTTGGCTGACGCCATGACAGCGAACAAGCTCTGTCAGACATAGCAGCTTATGCTGGGATTATGGGATAACACCATTCAAAAACTTGCGAGGCGGACGAATTTACGTCCACTAATTTTATCCTGGTCCACAGCACCCAGCTGATTGAAGCACCTTTTTCCTGTCCAGTAATTACCTTCTGGTTATTTCCTATTTATAATTTGATTTCATTCTCTTTTTTTGACACGCACACTACACCACACACTCCAGCACGCACTGCCATCAGCACTGCCATCCATATCCAGGAGACCGGACCACACGCGTCGTTTTCCAACGGGCGGGCCAAATAAGGCGAGCTGAACTTTCGCACCCAAAAATTAACGTGCAGCCTCTCTAATCCGGATTGTTACAATGATAACAAAATTATGGTGAAAAAATTCAGAATATCCACCTCGCGAATTGGTGGTAAATACAGATATTCTCACACAGTGCAGGCAGATAGTGATGTCAGAGAGACGCTACACGCTCTCTAAGCTGCAAAATAATTTTGGCAGAGGGAACTCCTCATGTGAACAAAACTACAAATTCTAGTTCGTGACAGGTATAGGATCGAAATATGGACGGAAATCTGAGCAAAGTCGTTCCATTTTCATCGTAAATTCAAAAACAACTCATGGTTGAACTTAGACGCTATAAAAACCCTGCAATCGCCACGCAAAGTGGTCATTGGCTACCCCAGCCATGTATTGCTTGGAATCAAATAAAATAAAAACTCACCGTTCACGCGCGTGAGACTCGGCTGGAAGCCGAGTTGTCCGCGTCCGTAGGAGCGCCACCACCCACTAGGATGCATCTCCTAAGCGGTGGGATGTACAGTACATCATGTACCAGCCAACTAATTACTTAGACCATCCTGCCTCCCACGTATGGACCACAACAGGGTTTTTTTTATTTTTTTATTTTTATTTATTGCAACATCTCAAGACTCGGCGGAAACACGGGCCAATATTACGAGAGTGGGTGATTGCCAACCACGGCGATAAATAGAAAGAAGGGGAGGGAAAAAGAAAGAGTAGCAAAACGAACAGCAACAACAACTCCGTAAAGAAAGATAATGTCAAATAAAAACAGTGAAAAACACAGAGACGCAAAGGACATGTGGATAATGAGCTATGCATGTCGTAGTAAATAAGGGGCGGCACGGATCTTAAACAGGCGGAGTGAGTTTTTTACGATTCCCTGCACCACACACTACTGTAAGTATGAGCTGATCCTGGCTAGGCTGTGAGAGAAGTAATAGTTGGATTTCTCGCCGGCCGAGCGCAGCGTGATAGGCGAGAAATGATTTCTCGCGAAACATTTTCAGTTGCAAATATGGCATCTGGTGTGTTCTTTATTGTCGCTTCTTTTCCTGACTTCTTCAGTCAGTTTTGAGTCTCACCAGTGTCCCTGCCCTCCCACCCTTCATTTCTGTGCATATTATCATTGCTGGTTTTATCACGTTTTGCCGTGATGTGCTTGCCATGCCTACATGATAGCCCTTTCCCAAAGGTGTTCTTTTAATTCGCACTTAGTGCTTTTCGCGTCCCTCAAAATATGCTGAAAAAGTGCTCTTTTTTCAGTGAAAACAGGCAAAAAGTGCTCTTTTTTCAGTGAAGTATAGCCACGATACATGTTCAGATACAAATGTATGAACCCAAGCTGAGAAATGAATACGCACTCTTCCATTTTTATGGGTCCACGAAAGGCAAAACAGGAACTAAAGTTCAAAAATCCCACTTTTTACAGCACTGTCTACATCGGGTACCGCGGGTACAAGCTTCACCAACATGTTGCCCCCAAAAACGCGGCAGGCCAAGGCCCATCGAGCACTCGGAAACTGTGATCGCATGCATGAGAAAACAGATTTTAGCACTTTTTCAGCTAAAAAAGCTCAAAAAGGGCGATATTCACCAAAAACGCAGTAAAGGGCGAAAGAAACGGGCTTTTCCAAAAAGGGCCAAAAAGGCCGAAAAAAGGGGCGAGCACCTTTGGGAAAGGGCTACTACTACATGATGCCTAATCGCCATTGGGTACATGTATACCCGTTTTTCCCTCACAACTGCGTCCGTCGGCGCGAGGGGTTTTTCCCGGCTGGCTCGGTCCAGGAAAATTAATCTGACGGTCCCAAGTGGTTCTGCATCATGGCCTATTTCTGCTATCCACTGGCACGCCTATTCTATCTGAGACACTCTGTTCTCAGTCCTTGCTTCCATACCTCACTCGTTATCCGGTTCACATCTGGCTGCGGCCAACTACCCTTCACTTTGTGTGCTGTCGCTATTGCCATGATTGCTGTCCATGTCTCTGTGTCTGCCAGTATAATGGTGGTTGATAAGAATATTATTAAATTAAAAGAAAGGAGCAAAATGTTACATGTGTTTGACCTTTCCAGCTGAATTTTATTTTTCCATGCGTATAGCGTGAGGTTCTCGATCTATGCTTTTTGCTGTAGCTCTATGCTTCTTTGCTGTTTTTCGACACTTTTCACAATTCCCTCTACTTGAACATGGTGAGAAGGGAACGAAAACGTTCGGTCACTAAAATTTAATTGGCTTTACTTGACTGTATGGATTGCGTCTGTGCTGACACTTTTCTTCTTCGTGCTGACACTTTTCTTTGAAATTGGATACGCCTCCAATTTTCCCTTAGATTGAAATTTATTAATTTTAATAATTGAGCCGAGTCACGATAAAAGGGTGCTTATGGCACGCAACATCAAACTGAGAAAAAACTCGTTTGAAAGTCGAGTATGCAATATTGAGAGTGCACATTTTCTTTTTGAATTCGATTAGTTTTCGTTGCCATTTATCAAGCTTTTTGAATGCGTTTTTTTGCAACAGAAGCAGTGATAATTCAGCCATTGCGCTGTATCCGTAACTCAGTTTGTGAAATGTTTGCCATAAGCACCCTTTTGTCATGGTGCGGCTCAATTACTATCGAACCTGGACCTGGCTCCCCAACCACTTGAAGAAGGTGAAAACATGATGTCGTACACAAATATGAAGGGACTCCAAGTACAAGTGAGTTTGTTAATGTTAATGCTGGTGCTTGTGATGGTGGTGGTGAGGGGGGGGGGGGGGGGGGGTTGTACATGTACAGTGTCAGTGGACATGCATTTCGCTGTCACCCCCCCCCCCCCCCCTCTCCAACCCCCCCCCCCCCCCCACACACACACATACCCCCCCCCCCCCACCCGGTCACCAATGAACATTGTTTGATTCAGGGACGACGAGGTTTTGCGCCGACCGCTCGGACATTCGTGATCTGACAACAATTGAGACACACTCGTCGGACGAAACAATCATCGCAGTGAGTGAGCGGACATCAAGCAGTGACAATACAACAAACAATCCGAACAGCACACTACACTGACAAACAAACTACACTGACGGTGTCGTAGCAATAAATACAATGCCAACAGCCTAATGTGTGACGCGTGGCAACACGCCTGGGTATAAAGAAATAGAATAAAACTAAGGCTTCTGCAACAGGCTCTCTAGGGTTTGCAAAGCACTCAAACTTTCTAAGAGTTGATAAATTCCATCGTATTCAACAGAATAGGTGACTCAAGTGTTAAAACAAAACAAAAAATACAGCTTGGATGCGGTCATAAAAATTAAAATATCTACTTTGACCATTGGAAGTGTTACATGTATCCAGACACAGTGTGGCATGTAACAGGATAATGTTACAGGTCCTGTTGACAGTACTGTCCTTAATGCATGGCGATGTTGGTAGTTCTGATGCATAACGAGAACGAGTCATTCGGCAGCAGGGAGGACCCCGCTCACGGGTCGGAAGCTGTGAACGTTTTCACAAGAGGCAGCATGAGGCATGAAGCTCAAAACGGGGAAATCTCTTTTGTTTGCCGTCAAGTTCATGCCCTCTCTCTCTCTCTCTCTCTCTCTCTCTCTCTCTCTCTCTCTCTCTCTCTTTCCGCATACTGGAGAGTGCAGAGAAGCCATGAGAGAACGTCCGCATTGGATGTCTGTGATACGTCAGTATACTACTGGTGATAACGCAGCAGTGCATTGATCCACAATACGATCTCACCATGGACCAAAACGAATTCAGTCTTCGGTTACATGGAAGGTTTAGTGGGGCACCGTACTAGCAACCTGTCACAGCATTGGCAGCCTACTTCTTCCTGAACCGCAATTCAGTGTTCAGTTTGATGCAGGGTTTAGCGTAGCACTGTGCTAGCAACTTGTCACAGCATTGACAGCCTACTTCTTCCTTAACCACAAGTCAGTGTTCAGTTTGATGCAGGGTTTAGCGGAGTACCGTACTAGCAACCTGTCACAGCATTGACAGCCTACTACTTCCTGAACCACAATTCAGTGTTCAATTTGATGCAGGGTTTAGCATAGCACTGTGCTAGCAACTTGTCACAGCACGACCGCCGGACGATGACTTACGGCCTGCACCAGAGCCTTCGTGAGCTGCAGTCGGAAACAAAACCCGGCAGAGCAGGAATTCGACACAGACATGAAAACCATGCACATGCATCAGTGTAACAGAGAAGCTGAATATCAATGTCTAGCAGGCCCAACATGAGCATAGACACCAGCACATAAGCAGGACCTGATGTCAAGTCGCACTCTGATGAGATATTTGTATACCAAACACAATCCTGCCTATGATTTGTAGAAGGAAACAGCAGGGAATATTGAGCATAGAATTCACACAAGGTAGCTGTGCCAGTGGGGCAGACCACGCTCAGGTTCAAGCTGGACAAGGGCTGTAGAATACCTGGAGGTGGAATCCACATCACCCCCCCCCCCCCCAGCCCATGCATGGCAGGTAATTATACAGGATGCTTCGCACACCTAACAACAACGCTCACGACAGAAATCAGATTCAAGCTGGACGAGGGCTGTAGATTGCCCGAAGGTGAGATCCACATCACACCCCCCATGTAAAGTGATACCCACTGAAATCTGATCAAATCAGTCAGCTACAGGTCGGGCGTCTCCTTACCGAACACAAAGGCGAAGATCTGCGCTGCGGCGTGCAACACGCGACGATCAGCCGCTGCCGCTATGGAGAAACCCGTTGCCTGCTCGGTGGCCGAGTGGATGAGCAGACCAAGCTGATCGAGCACTTCCGACACGCCGGCGTGCTGCAGTACCCACGTGGGCACAGACAGGCTGGGTGGATGCAGCTGCGGTGGCGGTGCATGCACTGGAGGTGATGATGATCGTCTACCGCTGCCGCCAGCGCTGCTGTTTTCAGCCACCGCTGCACGCTGATGAAGGTAATCCGCTGATTGCTGAAGCTGCGGGAAATCGCAGAGTGAAAAGAGAACAAGTAAAGTACTTGTAATCACCCAAAGGACACGCCATCAAACAACAGGAAAGCAATAAATCTGTCTGGCCTTTCATTTTTGCATGAAGTTTTTTTGCCAAATAGTCGTGAAACGGACGGAGAGCAAAGGATTAATTTGCGAAAACCGTCGGTCAGTGTCGTGCAATGTTATCGCATGAGCTGATCATTTAGTAACTGGTGGTCTTAGTGGACATTATAGCGTAACTTGGTCCTTCTGTTTTTTTTTTATAAGTCGTGAAACTCTGAGTTACAACATAAATGTAACCTTGTTTCATTGCAAACTTGTAAGGTGTTTTAGTACAGTGTCAGTTGTCACTCACCATAACTTGAAGGTGTTGGCTTGCTGTCGGCGTACAGGACATTCGGCTTAGGGCGAGCTGCATGCCAGAGGACAAGACTGCACAACCAAACGAAACCAAACAACACATGCAATATTGTATACAGTAATGACCCTGGACAGTTTGAGCGCGTCAGTCTGAACAGGCTTTACAGGAGCCCAGGCAGCCAGCCATGGATGAAAGGAAAATAAGGTATCAAAGGAGAGAGAGAGAGAGAGAGAGAGAGAGAGAGAGAGAGAGAGAGAGAGAGAGAGAGAGAGAGAGAGAGAGAGAGAGTGAGTGTGAGAGAGAGAAAGAGAGAGAGAGAGAGAGAGAGAGAGAGAGAGAGAATGTGACCGAGAAAGATACTAGCAAGAGTAAATAAGATCCCAAGAGTGTGCATATGGGGTCTCCAACGGCGAAAACTCACATCAAGTGTCTCAGGTATGTTTCGTACTTCGTACCACGAAGGATAGCGTGCGCGCAATCCGATTATCTGCCATGATCATGCTGGGGAGTTGCATACGCGCAGAGAGTTTCTGTTAGGAGTGCCTTTGTTATTAATCCGCTGCTCGCTAAAAATGAGCAGGAACTGTACAAAAGGAACACTAGACCATATAATGTAAGTTTTCGCCACCGTTGAACCCCATAGGGAGGGGATTGGGAGTTGCACACTCTCGGGACCTTATACTCTTGAGAATAGTTTTTTAATTTTTTTTATGAGTAATAGTTTTTTTAACAATGCAACACAATATTGTGGAAAGTACACAACAATAAGAGACAAGATCAAAAGGAAAGCTTTACAATAATAATAATAATAAAACAAAGCCTGTAAAATGTAAAGAGTTGAGAATAGTAGATACAAAGAGAGAGATACCGAGAGAAAAGCGAATGGATATTATGGAAAGAGGCAACAAAATCTCGCCCGCTAGCCTTACCCAGGAAGGCGTCCATCTGCAGAAAGCACTTCTTCAGCAATCGTGAGTCATCGTGCTCTGGGAGGACGATGGCACCGGCCGGATACTCCGGTGTCGGCGGCTGAACATGGAACCCACATGTCCTTAGAACACGACACCAGCATTCCTGACCAGCTGTCACACCTGAACAACAACACCAGGCAACACCAGCAACACCACCAGCAACACCAGCAGTAGCAGCAGCAGCAGCAGCAGCAGCAGCAGCGGCAGCAACACCAGCAGCAGCAGCAGCAACACAAGCAGCAGCAGCAACAGCAACAGCATGATTATAGTTATAATTGAACCAAGGACAATAGCGACATGTTGGAATTGCTTTGGGAAAGTACACAAGGAGAAATTGTCACTGTCCTACAGAATGCCTTGCTCACTTCATGGTATCTCATCGGGTACTTTAGCATACTTGCCAACCCAGCCAAAGCCGTTCCCTTACACACACACAGTTTCCTTTGGTTTCCTCCTGTTTCCCTTCTTTTTTCGATTTTTGCCAATTTCGGCCAGTTTCCCCCTTTCTTTTGTAAAGTTTTGGCCTGCAGTCCATTTTTTGTTCTATTTCTTCCCTTTTTGTTGTTTGCAAAGACAGTTCTTATGTTTTAGCATGATGATGCCGTTTCACTTCGTCCACTCCTCCAACACCAACAGAGAAATGGCGTGTATGTGAGCCATACTGGTTGCATTTCAATGAGCCAGCGGAGGATGAGGGAGTCGAGCGAGAGTGAAAGACAGCGGGAGACTTGAGCACCAACAACTAGTGCTGCGGCTGGCGGAGATGGTGCAGCAAGCACAGTTGCAGCTGCATCTCAACCCGCATCTGACAGCGAAGATGAACCTGGAGACGGAGATCTGGCTGGACTGACAGGCACTGAAGCAGCAAGTACGAGAGGTGGTGGTGGAGGTGGTGTGGGGGGGGGGGGAGGGGGTGACCAATCGGTACCCTACCCAGAAGACAGCTCCCAACTGGCAGGACGTGACTGCGCCTGTAATGGAGGCTTTCGTAGGAATCCTCATCGTTATGGGAGTCGGGCCGCTTCTGACGATGAGGATGTACTGGTGGCGAAAGCGGTTCTCATTCACGCGAACTGAAAGAATAGCGTATTGTATGTCAAAAGATATGCTCTTGCGAACCTTGCGCTGTCTGCACGTCACAAACAACCTTGATCAACAGCCGAACGCCAGACTACACAAGGCCCATGCCAAAGTAGATAGTATCAACGAGGCAGCCTCACCCTCGTACCATTTTCTAGAGATACAGAAAAGTGTTATTTTTCGTTCGCTGAGCGTAGCGAATGAAACGAAAAATGTATTCTTTTGCCAGCATTTTCACCATAGTTACGGCACCAGGATTGCGTCAGCTGGTTTTTTGTCAGTGTTCTCAAACTTTTCTCTTCGTCGTGGTCTTTCTCTTTTCGTGAGTGAACAAAGACCACATTACTACTGTGATCTGTATCTTTCTGTTGTGTGTGGGTGTGTCTGCGGTGTACGTAGAGGCCAGCTAGCTGGCAAAAATAAGCAGATTCCATATAACCGCACCACAGAGCGTGTTTCAATTGACGAGACCCTCATTCCATCCAAATGTCGGTCCCATTTAAAACAATAATCAAGAGTAGCTTGTTGTGTTAAAGTCGTCTTGCTTCCTTGCCCACTTCATCCTGAAGATGGTCAGAGTGACCGAAATGATGAGAAAGAACCGTCCGACTGCGTGAAGTAGCAGTGCATCCGAGTGTTTTGGCCAGTGTTGCCATAATACGAGTTGATATCAAGAATTCGCCACGCAAATGGAGATTGAAGCTGTGGTCTCTAGTGTGCTTGCCAACGGGGTATACGCGGCGAATAAGTGTGTACGCAGGCCGACAGCATAGTCTAAGAGAGTAGGGAGAGGCCTACAGTGTTGTAATGTCCGTAGAAGAAGGCCTGCACAGCAAGTTCCGCCGTGTATTCATGGACAACGTTTATAGCAGTGTGCCGTTGCTTACGGATCTTCTTGGTCTGGGAATATATGCTGTCGGCACCATTCGGCGCAACAGGCGGTGCCCGACATCAAGGAGTGTAGAAGCGAAAATAATGAAAAGGATGAAGCGGGGCGAGACCATTTACCGAAGGGGTGGATCGCTTCCTTGCCAGACGTGGAACAACACAAGTGATGTTACACTTCTGAGCACTTGTATGTGTACAAACGCCACGGGCAATGACTCTGTACGGCGGAACACGGTGGACGCAGCAGGCTAGCACGCCGTCATCAATGTGTAGTATCCCTGCTTTACAGTTTACACATGACTAGCAGTACATGTATTTTGCATGACTCTTATTGTTTAGAAGCATACAGTACTTCCTACATTTACGATTGTTCTTCCATGATCCTTGCATGGCGCCACTACACACTGGAGAGTAGCTAGACCAACACATATTATCAGTAGTCTTCATTGTTTCCAAAATACAATACTTGTGCCGCTATGCTTCATTTGCAAGAGGTCCTTGTGCAGTTGTATGGACTTCTCTTCACTGCGATATCAGTTTCATGCTCCAATGCTTCCTTTGTAGCACTGAGGCGTGCTGCGAGTAATCAATGGCATTTCCAGATTGCTTGCTACACTATCACATACATTCTTTAGCTGTTTTGCTGCCTGCTGCTTGTTTCCCGCAATAGACACCAGCTGAAGCTTCCTAGCTGGCCCCCTTGCCAACGGCCTTGTTAGATTCTGTATAAGTTCTCTAGTTTGTATCTCATACGTAGGAGTCGTGGTTGATTGAGAGCAAGTTCACTTAGGAATATTTGATATAAGATAACCTCCAGGCCGTGCCGGAGTAAGTTCTGAAACGTTCGTTGACTGACTGTGGGTAGTTGCCTCCTTGCCTTAGACCACGCACACTACAAATGTACCAGTACCACCTTGCATTCATGAGTAGCGCAAATACATGGGAGGCGTTGATTCCAATGATAAGCCTTGTACATACTCGAAGGTTCAGAGCGAAACAAGGAAATGGTGGAAAGTGATTCTCGTCCGATACATTGACCTATCTCTCACTAGCGCATGGATTCTGAAGAGGAAGGCATCACCACGGAAGCTATCACATCTAGAATTCAGACTTAAGCTGGCAGAGGAACTCATCGCAAACGTATCCTTCAGAAAGTGCCCGGACCGTCCAAGTCAAGAAGCTCGACTCTATGAGAGGCACTTTACCACAAAAGCGGATCGATCCCGTCGATACCATGCGTGCTTGCTGCGTGCACAACCAGGATAGAGAGCAAGAGACTACGTATACTGCTGCGATGAGTGTCAGCCACCTGTTACTATCTGCATACCCTCTTGCTTCACGCCCTTGCTTCACGATTTAGCACAAAGACACAGACAGTAATACGTCGGAGATTGTAACATTATGCGGTAAATAATTATTTCCTCCGCCATTTTGGACATTTTGCAATTTTTGGCGGGAAATGTCGTGCGAATTGCATAGCTTTCAACATGCTTTCAGAAGAAGAAAAACTTGTTCATACACGAAATCTCTCCTTGTACATGATTTTTGGCATTTATGGCCAGAATGTCAGATGACTGCATAAAGGTTCAGAATAATATTATTTAGGCTTGATAGGACTAAACAAGCTCTCCACCAGTCTTGCGCGGAACAATCCACTATGGACTGAAACATTTGCTCACATTTTAATGGGAACCTTTTGCCTACATACACACTATGACTGCAGTATGTGTTAATGTCCTGCTTTCGAACGGTGACAATGCTGGACAGCCTCTGTATGACTGTTATCAACTGTGAGATGCGTGCCGTACGACATTGGCGGGCTAATGAAATCCAACATCGTGAACAGCGCACAGTCACAACCACTTTAGTCCCTGCACGGTACTATCCAAGGAGGTTGGATTTTACTTTCCAACCGCAGTAGCTAACATGCAGGTGTGTGATGTCCACAAATTCCTTAGTGGCTAACAAGTCAATATAATGCAAGTGATATCACCCACAGGTTACCGACAGACAGTAGAACCTGTGGTTAACAACCACCCCTTGGGGCCAGACAATGCGGTCTTTAGTGACAGGTGGTCTTTAGTTACAGGTTTGCACTGCACAACCATGATATGAATGTGAGACGGTCCGTGCGAGTCGAAGTGGTCTGTAGCACCGGGCTGGTCGCTAGTCACGTTGGTCTTTAGTTAAAGGTTAACTGTATAATACAAGCGACATCACCCACAGCGTACCAACATAATTATCATGCAAGTGGCACAAATAAATACTCTAACTACTACAAGTAGAGTAAAACCTGTCAAGGTGACCACCTGTCCTGGAAGACCACCTGTCCTGGAAGACCACCTGTCCTGGAAGACCACCTGTCCTGGAAGACCACCTGTCCTGGAAGACCACTGAAACCAGGACCAAGTGATGCTATTTCCAGTCAAATGACCCTGGATAAGGAGACCACCTGGTAACAGAGACCAGGTTTTCAAGGTCCCTTGAGCGGTCGTCTTACACAGGTTTCACTGTAACTAGAGTACTGTCGGGCGCCGAAGAACGGAGCGCCGAAGAACGGAGCGCCGAAGAACGGAGCGCCGAAGAACGGAGCGCCGAAGAACGGAGCGCCGAGGTACGACCAGGCTAAAATTTCACCGAGCACAGCATGCGAAGGTACACACGGTGAATCAAGTGTGCATACACTGAAATACAGGAAAATAAGAACTGACCATTTATTTCTAAGTTCGTGACTATTTATTTTATTTATTTTATTTTATTCCAAGCAATACATGGCTGGGGTAGCCAATGACCACTTTGCGTGGCGATTGCAGGGTTTTTATAGCCAACCACGGCTGACAAGGAAAAGTGTACTAAGCGAGGATGTTACCCCCCCCCCCCCCCCCTGCCCAGTTCTTCGGCGACTGACAGTACTGTCATGTAAAGTGTAATGCAAATGACACCACGCACTAGTGACCAGCGTACAGTGGCTGTGACACTGGCCAAGTGACCAACCAACGGCTTACCTGAAGTCGTGTCATTGTGCACGGGTCCATTATCTGACGTCAAGTCTAGCCGCTCGATGCCGCTCTGCAGGGAGCTCTCGTCGGCAACACTGCACACACTCGTCGATAGGCTGCCGCCGCCACCGCCAGTCGGCGACGTCGGTGGTCCTTTGTTGACGCGCTGCTTGACGCTGCTCCAGGACACCACGGGTTTGCTGGGCGAGGTGGCGGAGCCGTCGAGACGCGTCAGTGCACGTTTGACCTGTAAGATGATTTTGACGTCAGCGTGCGTGATGCGAAGGATGCCATGAACAGAGAATAGCATATGCACACAAGCAAACAAGCAATGATATTCAGTCAACTTCGCTTATAACAACACTCGGCGGGGTCTCATTATGTGTATTACAGTTGGAAGGGACTTTGCTCTGGGCACAGAAATGCTGTCGTTATTCGCGAATTGTCGTTATATCTGCAGTCGTTATTAGCGAAGTTGACTGTAGATAGAAACAAGGCCAGTCAAGGCAGCTCCATACACAGATGTGTAGAGCAGCACGAGTCTACACAAACACAGGAGGTGAAGGGTAGTTGAGCTGAAACACGCATTTCAGCTAATCATCAGATAGCAGTATTTATATGGCGCTAGAGATACAAAGAGTAGGAGAGGGGAAAGACACAGAGACAGAGCGCCAGAGCGCCAGACAAATGGATAGACAGGCAGATGGATTGAAGGAGCAGCAAGCATAGAATAGACACAACAAATGTCTGCCTGCTAGCCAATTACAGATAGACAAACAGTGGAAAGATCTACAGAAACAACATACAAGCTAGATAGAAAGAAGAAGAAAAAAACAGTTGCAATGGGGTCAAACAGTACAGCCATTGGCCGGGAGTCTCACCAGATGCCTCAAGACATAGAACGCCCCTCGGCCACCATCCTCCTCCGTGTGCAGTACATGGCGCAAGTCCTCGGCTAGCCGTGGAGATTGATTGTAGAGCACGGTGTCCCTACCGAACAGCACAAACCCGGACCAATTGACGGGGTGCCAGTGACGACGAGAAGTTTGAACCTGGAACAAACGAAGAAAGGGAGAGTAGAAGGGATTGTTGTAGCGCCATCGGCAACACTTGGGTGAGTACTGAGTAGAGTTGGATTTGAGTACTGAAATGAAGGTAGATGCACACAGTAATAGCGGGCGCGCGGGACAGGTGGAAGCAGTTTTCAATGGGTACGGATATACCGTAGCCGCTCATACTGTTGTGATATGCCGTGTACAGTACACACGACCTTCTCACCAGTAAACAGGCGTTGGTCCAGCTACCTGCTACCGGCAGAAATAGGTACGCCCCCCCCCCCCCCCCCACACACTCACACACTCAAATCCCATGTCCAAATGCCACCTTCTTTTTCTCTTTTTTACACAAAACAAGAGTATGAACTTAGAAGTTGCGACTTCGGCGGCAATAGTCATGAAGTTGATTGTTCCAACTAGGAACACACGCTTCTTGCCGAACTTGACACTTGACTGACTCACGACTGCCATCGGGACAAGAGTATCTTTACACAATTACGTCATTGGCGACGCAAATAAAAGTATGCCATTGGCCGGGGAAAGAATCAGAAGTTCTAGAAGTGCAGTGCGATTCGCCAAACCCAACAACAAAAGATAGCCTAGATCCAATACCTTGTGCATGGCATAACCCAGAGCTCTGCTGGCACGACTGCCTCTCAGCAAGCTGTTGTAGAACGCAGCCATGAACAGTTTGCCTGGAAGAAGACCAACACAAAATGCAGATAGTCAAATTATCTAGGGTCCTTGCTGTATATTTTATAGCCAGGGGCAGTTGGAACTAGCAAGGCTGCTCGGCAGGGTCATGCGAAAGATGTGCCATAGCCTCTATTCTTTGGAGGAAAAAGAAGTCCCGTCAATGTCACATAGCAAACTGCTGATACACGCCTGAAGGCCTGAAACAATTCCAGGAGATTTTCTTAGCACTACGTACATCGAACTGTATACACGAACACAGCATTGCTGCGTTCAGGCGGGTGGGTTCAGGCAGGTAGGTTCAGGCGGGTATGTTCAGGCGGGTAGGTTCAGGCGGGTAGGTTCAGGCGGGTAGGTTTAGGCGGGTAGGTTCAGGCGGGTAGGTTTCATTATCCAGCACGGGGATAGAAGGTGTACATACCGTATCAGAGCATCTGGTAAAAGGAGAGCGATCGCTCTCGCGCGCCTTCACTCTCCTTATTTTCATTTTGGGCGCACTTTTCGTCGCGCGCCTTGAGAATTTCGAGCGCATCCGCATCACTATTAAGTGCATTCTGCAAACACTCAAATATTTCGTAAATCGGCTTCCTCTGAACGGAATTGAGTAATCGAAAGGTCTATTCGCATTAGAAAGTTCTCAGCTGTCGACTCCAACAAATCCGAAGTCGATCCAAGGTCGAATAACGGAGTTACGGCACTCGCAAGGTATTTTACGTCCCATTGCAAATTTTCACTTCTGCACTTGGGTGGCAATCATAATTTCGACATAAAGGATTTCCCTCTGTTGCGTGACATGTCGACAGTCCTTGCATGCATAGACCTGTGTGACGTCAGGCACAGGTTTTCAGCGTGCTAGCGGTCAGCTACAAAAGAAAGGTCTATTCGCATTAGAAAGTTCTCAGCTGTCGACTCCAACAAATCCGAAGTCGATCCAAGGTCGAATAACGGAGTTACGGCACTCGCAAGGTATTTTACGTCCCATTGCAAATTTTCACTTCTGCACTTGGGTGGCAATCATAATTTCGACATAAAGGATTTCCCTCTGTTGCGTGACATGTCGACAGTCCTTGCATGCATAGACCTGTGTGACGTCAGGCACAGGTTTTCAGCGTGCTAGCGGTCAGCTACAAAAGAAAGGAGCGTTCTAAATACTACAAAAATACCATGGATCTTAGCGGATTGTCTCAATTTCCCGTTGCGCGTCTTTTCCCAGGGCTATAGTGCCACTGCAGTCGCACTCCTACTGGTGAAAATCCCACTGGTGTGTTTCTCTTGCAAATAGCTTCCCAGAATGCTTGAGATTGTCAAAATTGATGAAGGAAAACTCAAGTTGTTGTCCCAACAGCTTTCATTTGTAGTGCGTACGGCGATTTTCCAGATCGAATTTGGCAGCTATTGGGTATTGAATCCGATTGGGGTATGGCAAGATATTGAAAAAATCCGTATTGTGCTTGCCTTGGATAGATAAGGCGAGCGATTTTTGTTGGGGGGGGGGGACTGCTCTTCCACCACTCTCCTTGAGAGGATAGCGAGAGTGATTGTTCACTCTCCTGGATTTTTCTTACACGAAGGTCTGCCGTATTATCGAGAGAATAAGCCGCACCCGGATTCTTGTGATGGACACACAGACATATTCCCTGTTTATCACGATCAACTTGGCCATCGTAGTGTAAGCCGCACTAAGCTGACTTTTAGGGGGTCAAATACTGGTGTTTAAAGGGCGGCTTATACTCCGGAAAATACGGTACATGAAAAAAAAACAGAGTGAAGTATTAACTAACCTGCTTGTGGTGAAATGGGCCATAATGGCATGACCACACACGACACGCCACTAGCCAGGAAGCTGGTGCACAGTGCCATCATTCCGTCTGCACTAATCTGAAAAGAGATAGACAAGTGTGTTGTATACACAGGTGCACGGACACGGTGCAACATGGAAGAGCGCACACAGACGCACGCACAGACACACACACGCACACATACACAGAAGCATCCACACAGACATACCCATGGATGTACACAGACGCACACAGTCATACACACATGTACACAATACACACACTCCATATTGATAGAAGCCGCTGCCGCCAAAACCCCCCACAAAAAAAACACTATAATGACCTCAAAGCAAAACCTTCCAGATCTCAGACCACAGAATCTCCCCACACAGCTGTCCAAAGTACAGAAAACATGTGTTTTCCAGACCGTGTGCCAAGTGGAGTCCTGCATTGACAAACAAAGATTCATGCACCAAAGTGCTGTGGATCAAATGGGACATCCCTGGATCAAGCGGAATCCTGTCACATCAGGACAGTTTCCACTGCGCCAAAGGTTTCCGGTTAGGACAGGTTTTAGTGCACTTGGTAAAACGGTTCACACTGCACAATGACCCAGCTGATAAAGGCTAGACATCCTCTGATTACAACTCTCCTGTATCACTCACCTGTCCAAGGCCTGTAGAATGACAACCACCCAGCACCACCACACGCACACTGGCCAGCTTCATCTGCAGCACATCCACTGGTGTCAGAAGCAGCTCCGACAGGTCGGCAATGCGATCGTCACCCAGCTGGGCGGCGGAGTCCGTACCCGACGAGTCGTCACCGTCGCTCGCATCCCTGACTGCACCTCTTCCAGAGGACGGTACCTGTGGCCAAAGTCATTGTCAGCACACCGACACAGCATAACTGTTACTGCTCATAGCTATATTGCAGCTAGATCAGACAACATCACATGCTTCAAAAGCAAAAACATTTCACTCGGTGAATAATTACGCCAAAATTACATGTACAAGAATGGGAGTCTACGTTGAAAGAAAATTCGTCCAAGGGCCACAACAAATACTGGAAACCTCGACAAGATCAACATCTGTCCGGCATTGAATTTAGTCCGACAGCTTATACCCATGTATCCTCCCAGCACTCTCCCAGCGGTATCTGTGCTACACTAATCAATGGAAAAGAATAAAGCCATCCGAATGCCAAAGGTGGCACAAAGCCTCTCGAGATGATCTCACCGGCCGTGCTCCCAGCACAAACGTTGACAGCTTCCACGACACGTGCGTACACAGGTGAACAAGTCGCGAGCCTGGCGCCATCTTGAGAAACCTCTGTTTGGTTGCCATGGCACCGGTGAGTGCGTGCGTTCCCAGGATCTCGGCAACGGTGCCGGTTTCGGCATCGCCGGCGGGCAGCGCATGCCAGGAGTACATATCACGGAAGACGTTTGACACCGCCGGGTTGCTCATCACCAGGTAGTTCTTATTGCTGCCACCGCCACCTCCACTGCCACTGCCACCACCCCCACTACTAGCCGTGCTTGTGTAATGACCGCCACTGCTGTTTCCGCCACCACCACCACCACCACCGCTACCATGAGACGTGGACAGGTTGGAGGCTGCACTGGAGGCCGTTGTTGTTGCTGGAGGCGGTGGAGGTGTGGAGTGATGCGAGGACGATACGCTGGTGGATGACGAGCCGCTCTGGCCACCACTAGCTCGCTGTGTCCTATCGGAGTGATGGCCGGTGCTGAACGATGATGGGCTGCTGCCTGAAGCTCTCCTCGTGTCTGCAGCACAAAATGAACAAGAGTAAAGTCAGACCCGGCTTATCCTGTCCTCTTTTATCCGGGGTCCTTCGTCATCCGGAAGAAAATCATTGGTTACCGATTTACAGCATATGTCATGCATACATACAGTATGTGTGTTCGATTATCCGGTTCCCTCGCCTATCCAGATCTTTCTTTGTGGAAAAGTGATGTGTGCAGTTAAGCAAGGTCTGACTGTACACTGCAATGTAGTGACATATACACTGCTTGTTGCCTACTATACAATACTAAGGTGGACACGTATACACACATACACATACAGTGGAACCTGTTAACCCTTTACCGGCAGCCCCATACTTGAATGCGTCAACGTTGACGCATTCGACAGGCATACAAAACCATGCCTGGCATGACGGGAAGCATCAGCCCACGGGGATTTCCCGTGGCCCTCAAACAGCCTAGGCCTGATCCTATCGGTAGCTGAAGAGATCCACGCGTGTCCCATTTGATTTCATTGAGAACTGCGCGATCGAAAACTTACGGAAATACACGCGCGCCGACAATGCCGTCCGCCTCCGTCAAAACATCGTCAGGTGCATTTTCTCTCGCGCAGTGAGTTCCTTTCGTCCTCGCATGACTTCTCCGACGACGACCTAGCAGTCATTCGCTCTGGGACCGACGACAGATAGATAAATACTTCGTTCCAGCCTCCGATGCAAGCGAATTTCAAATTACGGAGCGGTGCGCACGCCAAGTAAATTCTCACGCAAATATGGGGAGCGCCAGCCGCTGAAGACGATGTCATCGTGATGTACCTGGAAGAATCTGATGGTGCTTATGGTGGGGAAGCCATGGAGAGCGATCCCTGTGTCGACAGTCTCCCAGAGACGGAATTTTAGCCCATCGACTTTCTACGTACCTGAGTGACGGCAGCGCAGCGCGGCTTGCGTGCGACCTTACGGAGCTTTCCGACAGCGATTCTGGGGCGATGCTGCTCTCATTTGCGAGCGAGCCATGGCCACTGAAGTTTGTGATGGCTATGGCGTTTGTTTCCGCTCCGAAGTCGACTTGTTTTGGCAGTATCATGTCAATGTCGGAACTCTGACGATTTGCATGTGTACAATTTCCGTGTTTAGACGTAGAGGTGCCAATTTAGCAGCGTATGTGTATGGCATGAGAAAATAATTTTTTCCATGGTCAAGAAGTAGTACTAGACTTCCAAGAAAACATAACTTGCACATACAAAATGTGGCCTCGTTGTGAGTTATTGGTATCGTTCTAAATGTTAAGGATTTCATATACAAAAGTAACTTGCCGGTAAAGGGTTAAGGCGACCACTCGGATAAGGCAACCACCTGTCCTAGAAGACCACTAAAACCAGAACCCAGGAATGCCATTTCCAGTCAAATGAACCTGGATAAGGAGACCACCTGGCAGGTTTTGAAGGTCTCTTGAGCGGTCATCTTAGACAGGTTTCACTGTACACTCTAATTCACGCACAGATTCAGACACATGTGCACGTGTCCACTACCGGCTGGCATCACTGGCACACTTATTAAACACGTCTACAAGACCAAGCCTTTCACCAGGCTTTTAAGACGTGCTTGATGGCAAACATCACCAGCCTCTCGACACATATGCACACACACATACACTCGAATTCAGACACAAATTTACGACTGAACGTACCAAGTCGACTTGCAGGATATCCTCCGTCTACGATGGCCGCTCCACGCGATGAGCCCCTCTCCTTGACACGCTGCAAGTGCGCCGTTCCAAAGTCGTGCCTCAGGTATCCGAGGAATGGCATGCCGATCAGGTTGAAGCGACGGTGAAGAAAGTCGGACTTCTCGTCCGCCCGGAGCAACGCAAACGGGACCAGGTGAAGGCAATCGTGTATAACAACGTAGAGCTGTGGCGTCACTGACACACCTCCGGTGTTTCTGCTGCTGAGGATGTCCGCGAAAACGTCCTCCATGGGCAGGAGTAAGAGTTCGTAGAGGGCTTGCAGCGGCGCTGGAACGTTACTTCGGCCGTTGGGATCGCCCAGCAAGCCACCGCCGGCTGGAGGAGACGGTGAGAGGAGGTAACTCTGGCCGTCGGTGTTGAGTGTTTCGTTCACGCTTCGGAGCTTGTTGCGCGTAATGGACGTCTTCGGCGAGGCACTGCCGACCTTCACAGATGCCGAGCGACGGCGTGTGAACATCGTGGACTCGTCGCTCGACTGTCGTTTGAACGGCGACGTATCCCCGCTGCTAACGCTGCTCATGTCCACCGCCTGTGCTGCGGCAGCGGCCGTATCCCGTGGCGACGTGGTGGCGCTGGTGCTCCCGGAGCTCTGACCGGATCCGGGGCGGCTCGCCGCACTGCCGCTGCTACCACCTTCCAGTGTGATCGTGCGTGCATCCGCCACCAGGCGTTCCAGTATCGGCAGCTCGGACGAGCTCATTGCGTTGCTGTTGGTTTCGCCGTTTGTGCCCAAACCGGCAGCAAATTCCGCTTGCGATGGACTCCCAGACGTTGAGTTAGTGGCAGTGGCTTGTCCAGAGCTTTCGAGAGCTCTCTGTGACACACCGAACTGAAACACAGCAAAATGAAAACCCAAAGAGCAAAAGTCATTAGCCAACGTAAGTATGTCAATGGATGCCATACTATAGTTTCTAACATGGAGATTGTGGGCAGAAGTTATGCGATCAAGTCCACCAACTAAACCAGATTTTGAACAGTCAGACGTGCACAATCTTGCACAAAACTGACTTCCTTGGCTCACCATCTGAGTTCTTAACAATAGCTTCTCTTTTCCTGGGACTACAGTTTTAGGGTTAGGAAATGGTTGACCTCCAGCAGTGTCTGCTCTAGGATTGTAGGACAGCCGGGTACACGTGTACCTGGCGCAACCATTTCAACCGGGTCGGAGCCGGATACATAATGTACCTGGCGCTGTCTCACCAGCTGAGTCACATGCTTTAATTAACTGGTTGGGTGGTTTATTTTAATTCGGACAATAAACGGGAACTAGGCCCAATGATATAAAGGCGAATGGATAAGCCACATTTAAAAAAGAGAGGACAGGAATTAGAAAATTACGAAAGAAGAAGAAGTATCTGACACATACAAGCCATGTAGTCAGTCCCTTCAAAGTTCGAAAGTGTAAAGTACCAACCGGGTCACAGGTGACCCGGTACTATATTTTCAACCGGGTCCAAGCGCCGCCCAACCGGGTGGATTACCCGGCTCACCCGGTGCTGGAGCAGACACTGCTCCAGACACTTAACAACCCAACTAGGACCGATTCCAGCCTCAAAATCGCATTCTCGTTAACCCTTTGTGGGTCTTACTCAATGTATGTGAGGGGTGGTCACGCAAACACGCGCACAAACAACCAGCCATAACTCAAGTTCTGTGGGTTGTAGGTATGGGTAAACTATATATTTTCAAAATCTGTATGCTTGGACGAGTCCAGAAAACACAAATTTGACTATGTCCAGGCAAGGGTATGACGCGTGGTAGCCCTTCAAGTTGAGAGAAAATACAATTGCGAACAAAAAACACAAAAATCACAGCACGAAGTGCATACCAAGTTCGTGATGGAGCTGAAGTCCTATGATAAACAATCAGGTAAGCGCTACGTCTTGGTGAAGAATATATGCTCCTAATTCCGTCCTGGAACTCCAACACGTCGCCATCGGCGAGGCACCAGCAGCAACAGTTCCACAATATCACAATTTTGGTTCGTTCAGCTCAGCGCCGCTCGCGTCAGATTCGCTCGCTCAGATGAGTACGAGACTCGTACTCAGGCGCGATGTCACGCATGCCGTGATTCTCACGGCCAGGCGAATCAGCTGATCGCACCTGACAAGTCCTTGTAAGAGTTGCTGTTGCTGTGCTTCCTCGCTGGTTGGTAAATTTGATTTCTTCATTCGGGGACGATTTATTTGAGCTTGGAGGACTCAACGGAGCTCTCTTTCTCACCACATTACACTGGAAATCCTCCAGAGACATCCAGCCTAGACTGGTGCCGTCAGTGTCCTCAGAAAGCTTTTCTGACACGGCCTCAAGAGATGCACTCCCATTCTCGAAATGCGCGCATGGCGGATGTTCGTCTTTTCCAATTTCACCAGACTTCAGTGAATCAATACTGCAAAAACTTGTATGGTAAGTATGGTTGTTTTTTACACCGTTGGAAAGCCTTGGACCTCAGCTACACGTGGAGCACCATTTTAGTTGTCTCCTAGCAACAAAACTCACCGAAAATACGATTTTGCTGTAAGGGTCACATACGACCCTTACGCTTATGTGAGACCCATAAAGGGTTAAAATGGTTTATATGTTATACAACTCCACACATCGGATTATGTTGAAGCCAATGGTCAATACTACAAAATCTAGTCAAATGCGTAGCACAAGGTTGACACAAGAGAGAGATTGGAAGCTTTGTCACAACTCTGAGTTTCACGTATTACTACGATCATCAGGCAACATAGCACAAGGTTTATCATTTTTTCACTCAACCTCCAACCCGTAGCACACAAACAGTCCAGGACTTCACCACGTACAAGGATTGTTTCCTAATTTTCAACCAGATGGGCATAATCGGAAAACATGACACGGCTACAATGGAGCTTCAAAGTTTAAAAAGAAAAGAAAAAAAGGATACATCATTGATAGAAAAGAAAAAGGACCAAGGAACTACAAGTTACACTATAATGTCCATTAACACCACCAGTTACTAAACAATCAGCTCATGCGATAACATTGCACGACACTGACCGACGGTACTGACGTTCTACAACCTGTCTTTTTCTTTTCTATAAATTAATCCTTGGCTCTCCATCCAAGTCCATTCCTGCACACCTGAATGCATGATTGATCAGATTGTTGAGAAACCTCTCTCACCCTATGTAGATCTTGCTGCAGCTTGGTGGAGTGAAACTTCTGCACGCGTCCGTCCGGAGAGAGCAGCCAGGCGTACAGACTAGTGCCGGCTATGGAGTAGTACAGAACACAGGATCCCAGTCCACGCACCAAGCCTTGCAGGTCGGCGAACGTCATGTCCTGCGGGTGAATGAAGCCGGCTTTGACCAGCGTCGGGATTTGAACCTGCATCGGTGCGACAAGAATCAGGCACGGCAATCTCAGCACACAACAAGCAGCTTCTCTTCACCTCTCATGTGAGTTGACACCATGGCCATGTCTCGCTAACGACAATGCTACGCTTTACAACTTGCCTGGCCAGATGATGAACAGATCATCAGGATTGCCTCAGCCTTGCTATGCGCATGAAACGCGGCGTTGCAACGATAATTCAGCCGATCGTCGCTGTTCTTTTCTGCCTTTGTGGCATTACTACATTACTACATCCTGGTGGTGTTGCCCAGTCTAGCAATCTGGGAATTCCCCTACTGCAGGACACCTGTCAATAATCTACTGAGCCATGCAAGGAGACTGCGTAGTTGCGTCTTCGCATGGCCAAGGTCCACGGTGTTAGTTCCGGACTCGTCACGTGAGCGGCCAAGATTTGTTGTGCGAGCGGCGAAGAAATCATACCATATGTGCCACACCGAGGATATAAGGGATAGGTGGCCAGAACAAGCACTGGACGGTCCTGGCTAAAGAAATCCAACCCCGGGCGCTACGCAGCTCTAAGTTAACACTGCACACACTGTTCTGTGCACTCGAACGCGGAGCTACTTTTATTCATGAGGTTGGATTTCTCTGGCCAGCACGGTACAAGCAATGCAGAATGTTTGCTACTCTTGTGGACATTGAAATCCATTGAGAAGTCAAGCGGCCACGGGGTGCCAGCCTTGCATCCGTGAGCACTGCTGGTCCATCTTTACAGTGTGCACGTCAACTACAGTGTGTGTACGGGCTAAATCCAGTTAGGGCGCCGGCCCCGGTCATCCCATCGTGTGTCGATATACACGACAGTAGACGTGCGAGATGGCCCTACAGCACTGGCTCAGGCTTACCTGCCTCTCCAGAAGGATGTGTTGATGCGCCTTGATGCGACACTGCTCAGCCACAGCCAGTGCGTTGTGATTGTCGCCAAGGGACACCAGGACTTGCTGCAGTGTCTCCAATGACAATTGTTGATAGTGCACGACTAGGCGCAACTGACCACTACTTGAAGCTAACAGCACATGAAGAAAAAAACAAAATTTGTACAAATTACTATTTAATAGTGATTTGTGTAAGTGTTTGTCATACACACTTCCCCACATCTATAGTAATGTCACCGCTCGCAAGGACCACGGTGCAGATACAGCTCCGAAAGTGGTAGAATGTGAGTTGGTCACGCACACTGCTATCATGTTCGGCTATTTTCTACAATAATTTATTGTTTCCATTCGCTTCCATGTAATTGGGCGACACCGCCCGTTTCGTTCTGCGAATTCAAATACAGTGAAACCTGTATAGGACGACCGCTCAAGGGACCTTCAAAATGTGGTCTCTGTTACCAGGTGGTCTCCTTATCCAGGGTCAATTGACTGGAAATAGCATCCCTTGGTCGTTGTTTCAGTGGTCTTCAAGGACAGGTGGTCGCCTTGGCAGGTGATACTGTATAAACGTACATAGCTACATTAAAGTTAAAAAGTGATTAGCAGAGAGGAGCACAATAGCATGGTGAACAGAGAAGAAAATCGGACGGCGTTCCTGTGTTTTCGTTTTGCCTCATTTAGGTTCTGATGATATGGCTTGCCACCCTTGAGTTTTACAGACGCGATATAAAATGTCACCATGAAGAGGAGTTCAGTGAACGCCCCCCCCCCCCCCCCCCCCCCCCACACACACACGGGGCACGGCAAAACGTCACAATTACGTGACACGTCTGTGCACACAGACATACCGAACGTATATTATGGTTATGCGGAGTCAAGTCATTCCTGTAAAAGACAGAAGCACCATATCACACTAACCTTTCTCTATGATGGCCTGAGCTGTTCGTTCAAACAGAGCAATGGCCGTCTCCAGCTGTCGCTTTGCCTCCGATTGCTTCCCAGACATATGCAGTGCGAGACCCAAGTTCATACGCAATTCAGCTTGTAATCCAGTCACCTAACACAATACAAATGAACCAAAAAAATCTTAACCAATTTCCAAGGAGATCAGATGGGAAAAAAGGTTAAAAATCAAAAATAAACCATGCCTTCCAACCATCTCGACTTGGCCGTGACCGTCCCGATATCGAGGGTGGTAATAGGCACCCAAAAGTGTATTAGCCGCATGCCTCACAGCTTCATTTGTATACATTTTCATAGCTACTCAAATCTGTGGACGGTAACTGTTTCGCTCTCTTAGAGCTCCTCAGCACAGCTCAGAGGACCGAAGCGCAGCTCTTCGCAATGAAATACGTTTCCGTGAAGCAAAGCATTTTTATAAAGAGCTGCAAACCCCGCCAAGAGTGCTCGAAATGCTCCAAGAGCAGTGAGCGTTTCACGCTAAGGTAAGAGTGCTCAACCTAACGACATTGCTGACTGCTAGCTAGGTACTCTATGTCATTGATCTTTCCCCAGGTTTGCAAAGGTTCCCAAAGGTATGATAAGCACAGTAGATATTGCCTTCGGTCACCTACCCCTAAACTCGTGTGCTACTGCTGTTGGTGTCTACGCATGGATCTCTGTATGCCAGTATAATTATGTGCCGGGGGTGAGAAACACACAGTCATCTCAGCCACTTCTAATGGAGATCACTGTGGAGTTTACAGTGCAATTACAGCACAAGACAAAACATCACCACGCTGACCTGTAAGTGAGCCGACGCCTTCAGACCGTTCTGCAGGTGTTGCAGAGCCTCGGCCGGTTGCTTCATGTCGATGTAGCACATGCCAAGTGCATTGTAGGCACTCGCTTGAGTCTCCTCCTCGCCCAGCTGTGCTGCAATGCTCAGCTGTCGTCGGTGATAGCTCAGCGCGGCGTCAAACTGCCGCAGTGCAAAGTAAGCCGTGCCCAGATTGGCAGCAGCTCGCATCTGCACACACGCGCACACACACACACGCATGCGCGCACACACACACACACACACACACACACACACACACACAGGGCAGAGCAAACACTTCACAATGCCAATCGTTTGCCACATCAGCAGCGCACAAGGCATCACGTTCATGGTATGGACATCAACCTGTTTTAACTGTCGCTGCCCTCTGGTGCACCCCAGTCTGTGTTTTGACCTACTACTTTTGAGCGAGACCCATGAATACCGTTCAAAAAATAACATACACCACCAATACAAGATCTTGCAATACACTGCCACAGATCAAATGGCTCTGAATGCATATTGAAAGAAAAATGGTTGCTGGAAGCCTAATACATCTGTGATCATAGAGAGTGGTCCCCTTATTAAAGTAATAAAATGATAAACTAAGGAGGATGGAACGAAGCCTACACGGCTTCATGTATTATAAGACAGAGGAAGTCCGCTATCTGTGAGCAGCTTGCGCTCGCAGGGCGGATTGGCTTGCCATTTGTGATATTAGGCTAGCTCAGCTAGGTAGCTGACCAAAGATTGAGATATAGACTAGTTCCGTAACTGCCATACCTGAGCATCCAAATGGCCCAGCTCTTCGGCGATCTTCAGGTCATTGCGGTGGTACATGGCCGCCTGCTCGAACTGTCCCATCTCTTGGTAGACCTCACCCAGGTCGCACATGGCCTGTCCCTGCCGCTCCAGGTCCGCCATGGTCTGAGCCGACACGAGCTGGCGCTGGTGGTACTCCACTGCGCGCGTATAGTCGCCCAGGGACTTCTGTACCTGGCCCAGGTCGGCGTAGCACTCCACCTCGGCCACCACGTCACGCAACGCCTGCGCCATCTGCAGGCGCTGTTCAAATGCCGCCATGGCTTCGTCTGTGTTGCCTAGTTCTCTGTGACAACGACCGAGGCCTGGCAAGAGGGGAAAATTGCAATCAGAGAACAAAAATAGACAAACAAAAACATGAACAAAAACACTCATGAACCAAAAAAATAACACATCAGAGATTTCACTCAAACCCAACACTCCGACATGCCTCTTTAGTGGAATGGACAAAATAGAAATCTTCTGATCATTATACCAGGAGCAGTGTAGGACATGTCAACAGGTCGCTGTTTGTTGGACGTTTTACCTGGACTAACATGCTGGTAATTCACAGACCCCAACAGCATCAGAACCAGGTCTTAGGGCAGACAAACCCAATGCAAAGCAGTCAAAACACCGAAATATTTCTCTACTTGCATGCTACAAGTAATGGGGCAAGCGGCGGCATTCGGCCCTGTACAGATATTTCATTAACTACCACACCACAACTGCACTCTACAGCCAACCTCGACACAACGTTGCCACAGCACACCACCAGCAAAGCAACACATTCGTCCCTGTGTCGCTTTTGTTAGTTCCCGGCTAAACGAAGCCCCCTCACACTTCCAGAACGCAGGGCGGGTACTGATGTTGTGCCGTGGCAACGTGTCGAGGTCGGCTGGAGAGCACAGTTATCGTGGGGTGGTTGATGAAAAGTTGCATGTTTCGTCATGCCAATCTAAGCATCGCAGTTTACAAGTTTCAGCCTGCCTCACAAAACACGGAGACATTCTATAGCGGAGAATTATATCCACACACTCACTCACCAGCATGTGCACGCATCTTCTCCACGTCATCACTGCACATCGACGCTATACTCAGCAGTTTGTCGTAGCACGGTACCGCGTCAGAGTAGCGGAACAAGCACTCATAAGCCTCGCCAAGATTGGCCCAGGCTCGGCCAGCTTCGATCTGCTGGTGACTTGGTAGACCACTGGCCACACTGACCTGTGACATATAAACACAAGTAGCATCTTCACCAGCCATAGTCCTTCAATATGGAATCCACATACTGACCTCTCTATATTTTTAGTACGGAATATAATTATAGCCGACAAAGTACCATTTTTTCTTTTCTTTTGCTTCACATTATCATATTCATCAATTAGTAGGAGCCGCGGTTGGCTCAGGCCATCCCGGCAAGAAGGCAGATATGCCTGTTCGATTGTTGAATAAAATATAATAAATACCATACCATATTGACAGCCATGAGGCAAAGTAAGAACAGGAAATGAATTGTTGTAACTCAGTATTGGAAGAAGGGCTGAGGCTTCCTGCAGCTTCATCTGTGAAAAGAATTCGAAACGTTGTAAAATAACGGAACTGGTTCGGATGTGATATGCAGCGCTATGGGAATGGGTGTGTCCACCCGAATTCTTTTCAGTATTGGAAGTCTGAGTACAAACTTCCAGTACTGGCATACTGGCATGATCTAACCGAGGTAATCGGCCCGACTGTGGCCACTAATTCTCCTGGCAAGTCGACATGGCAACAGAAACAGCTGTGAAGATTTTAAACAGAAAAGATCCCTTGTTGCAGTGAGTTCAATAGTTTCTTTTCAATTCACTTAAAGGGCAATTCTCGTCTTCTCTCTACCTGTCTAGCTTACCTGTCGTTTGTTGAACTCCGCCGCCATGCTGTATTCGCCGACTTTGCTGTGCGCCAGACCAAGACTGCGGTAGACCAGGCACTCCATCAGCGCATCCTGCAGGTCATTGGCCAGGGTCAGCTGCTGCTGATAATGCTCAGACGCCTTGGCAAAGTCTCCAATGGCCAGCCATGAGTCACCCATATGACCCAGTGCCTGCAGTAACATTGCCATGGATACAGCAAGCATTGACCTACCAAGCAACTGGCTTAGGACTGTACTGTTGTACATTCACTGCCAGTGTAACTCGAGGATATACATCGATCAGCACATGAGATGAATGGGTCACCGCACGCTGATTGTGGTGTTTTAAAGGGCAGTAAAGTTAGCAGACCCTAAACTAAACGGGCACTAAACAGGTCGTACCTTCGCGTACTCCAGTGGGATTTTGTTCTTATAATACGGTATGCAGAGCAGCATAACTGCGACTAAATGTTAGTGTTCGGAAACACGACCAGATTTGTGTATGACAGAGAACTACACATGCAGATGTTCAGTCCTCAGCAACATGCACTGAATCGTATGGAGCAAACCACACGCGCCAAGTATTTCGAGACATGCTCAGGAGAGAATAGCTTGGAGCACGACCATGAGAAAACACTAAGCCTTCGGTAAATAGTTACATGGTACCACCATCTCACTACCAGGCAGGCACAGTGGGTTGGTCAAAGACCATGATGGAGATACGAGAGGTACCTGGTTCAAGTCCTGCCTGGGAGCGGTTTTTCCAGCCGTGCTGCTACCCACAGTCAACTGGGAACTTGTGGCCAGGCACAAGGGGTACATGGATGCAGCTAATGGGGTCGTTTTCGGCACTTGTGCCAGTGGTTGTGAGGCTTATCCGCTCACCCCCACCGTTAGGCGCTGCATCTGCCGCTAGGGTTTATCGGGTGTTAGCGGCCGTCGTGAGTTCCCTTCGGGAACGGACACGATAATTTACTTACTTATTTACCATCTCACTCTGTGAAACTTCCCTTTCCGATCGCTGGGGAAAGCGAAAGGCTACCTTGCATATGATGTGAGATAGAGAAAGAGAGAGGTTTGGGAGGATGAAGTATTGGCAGCAAAACCTACCTGACTTCAGATCAGGAGTGTAAGAAGACAGAACTACAGGAAACGGTAGACTGTTGTGCTGTATACCGATTAGCGCCTAGCTGCATAGAGCACTCGTTCGAGCTGCCTTGACTTGATTGTGATTAGGAGTGTGATTAACTTGAGCCAGGAGCAGAAAGAAACACGCTAAGTTCAAGTCTGTACATACCTTTGCCATGCCTCGTTTGTCAGAGCTCTCCTGGCATGCAGTGAGTGTGCACTCATAATGCTCCAGGGCTTGCGTGAAGTTACCTTTCTCCCTGCACACTGCAGCCTGGCCACTGTGAGAAATTGCCTCAAACGATGCCTGTGCCGGGAGAGAGGATTATAGTAGATCATACGGAAAGGAGAATAGCTAATCGTATGTGACAGAGCTCAGAGCAATCAATGTGTCAGTCAAATCGCTGACAGAAACCACCTTGTTGTCAGGTTTGTTGTTCCCGTGCATTCCTGCTTGGTGTGGACGGTGCACTGTACACTTGTGGTTGATCTTTCCACCTACCGGTAGGTACCCCTATTATGACCTGTGAAGGGTATTTCCCTGCTTCTCCGTAGCTTGTCGTGTGGCTGCACCTCCACATTCGTCCGGATATCGTGTATACTTCGGGATGCATTACTTGTCATTCGTGAACTAAATCCTTAGAAGTTTGCCAAGTGGACGGTTTGATGGGCTCCCCCTGTGCTCCAGACACAGTCATGAGTCAGTCACGTGTCAAGTCAGTCGACAGAAAGCCCCAGCTCTGACGCTCGGAGCAGACACTTTCCTCTCAAATTACTGCTAATGTTGCAACATCTTAACTCGTTTGTGGACTATATCACTAATATTCATCAAGATGTCGTACCTGCTTTTCCCGCTCAGCGACCGTCTGCAGTTGACGGTAGTAATCAGCTGCCAGATCTAGCTTGCCACTGGCCAGTGCCAGCTCTCCAAGGTTGGTCAGAGCCGTACATTGCCCCACGGCATGGGACAGCTGCTGCGACAGCGCAAACAACTGCTTGTGATACGTCTCGGCCTTCTCCACGTCTCCTGCAAGCAACCAGTGTGGGTTGAAACGCACAATGCTTATCAGAACCAAAACCTCACGGAATGAAGTTACAAAACACAGAGAGCCTGCATCCCTTATACTCATTATGGATAAATTGAACAGTTACTGTCTCCACGTCGATTTTTCGAAATACAGCGAACACAACTATACTGCTCCCTCACATCGTCAACTTAGTGTTTCAAAATTCCGAGAGAGTTCCGGAAGAATGTTATACTGGCATTACTTGGAGTTTGCCTTCTTACAAATTACGAGATCCTGGTAACTCAAGATGTGGTAGTGTAAGTTGCACAATAATTCACATTAAGGCTTCCACTGGTAACTAACCAATCGCCTTGAAGACGTCTCCAAGGCGACTGCATGCCCGACCCATGCCAGCCTTGTCTTGCAGTGCCTTGCTCAGGTCAAACACACGCTCAAAGTACATGATGGCCTTGTCGTGGTTTTCCAGAGCCAGATGTGCCTGGAGCATAGACGTGCAGTTACGCACACACACACGGAAAACACACACATACACGCATACTCAGAAACACACACACACACACACACACATACACACACACATACACAATTCCACATGAGTGTGCACATCAGAAAGTCGGTCAGTCCAAGGTAAAAGAAAAAATATAGAAAAACTCTGCACATATCCAGAAACATCACTTGCATGATTGGTGTAGCCCAGAGGTTGTTGGATAGTGTTGTGAACTTGTGAGAATGTACGATTATGTACATTACTAAAGTAACGCATGTTACTCACACAGCAGTCCTCTGCTTTCTTCAATTTATTAGCCAACTTCGGCCACGTAACGAGTAGGTGTGAAAATTACTGGTTTCAGGAGCTGAGGACAATGAGAGTAGCTCCGCCACTGATCATTCCCAACGTTCCAGAGTCCTTCCGGGCTCCTTCATCTCACCACGCGCTTTGCCAGCCGGAGCTTCTCAGGAATGCCAAGTGGGCAATGGCGGCATGGAAAGGCTCTGGGGCCACCCACCGCTAGTCATCTCACCCGAAGTTCGCAGTATGATGTCTGCATCAGTAGCGCCGGCTACCCTGTCAAGATATGAGAAAGTCATCGCGCGGCTAGATGCCTTCGGCGCCGGCCAAGGAAGAGATCCCTTCCACCCTCAGGTGGTATGCAGTTTCCTCGAGAGCATCACGCGGACAACTCAGCGACCTGAAGCTACTATCCGTCTTGCATGGGCCGCCATTGGGTTCGCCGCAGACTTCCGCGGCTTGACACCACCTACCTCGGCGCTCGTCGAGCGGGAATGCACAAGCCTGGTTGCAGCTCGCACCATCCGGCCGAGGAAGGATACTCCAAGCGCCGACATAGCGAAGATTACCGGCTACCTACGCTCACTAGGCCTCACTGCCGAATTGCCGATCAGCCAACTGCGGCTTAAGGCTGTCATGGTAAACCGCACCGGATATACTAGCGAGTTTGCAAAGCCCCTTCACGTGGTGTGGTGCTCACCCTGTATTTATCCACGGCATTACTGCTGCTCTTCCTTCTTCTCTGCATACTGGAATTGCTGCCCTTGCTGTTGCCATGAAAGTGGAAAGGTTATATGGGTATTGTGAGTGTAAACTCGTACTACACCTCTTTCTCCACCACTACCCCTCGTACTACACCTCTTTCACTACCACTACCCCTCGTACTACACCTCTTTCACTACCACTACCCCTCCAGCATGTAGTATCAGATCATTTTCTACTGCTACAGTATCGAGAAGTCCTCCGACTCCGAGATATGTCCTGTCTACACTCTGAAGTCATACATCGAGGCGACGGCCGCCGCTAGGGGGACCATACTCGACCAGCCAGTGTTCATCTCACTCCGTCCGCCATACAAAGGCCTGGCTCCTGCAGCTATCAGCAAGCTCCTCGCCCAAGTTCTCAAGGACTCAGGCCAGGGTGCCGGTATCACCGCTAAGTCCCTTCGACCTGCCGGTGCCCGTAAGGCTTTGGAGGAGAGCGTAGAGCCCTCCGTAGTACAGCTGCGGGGTCGCTGGAAGAGTTCCGACGTTTTTCATCGACACTACGTGGGCATCACAGGGCCTGCGACGGACGCCGTCCTTCTGTAACCAGTGGCACTGCTTTGCTGCGTCTAGTTACCGCTACCGTGCCTCTTGCATGCAGGGTATCTTTCATCACATGCATCACAGCTACATTTCCCCTCCCAGCATATTTCACTCCTCACCATAATAGCAGAGGACTGCTGTGTGAGTAACATGCGTTACTTCAGCAATGGGGGTTACTACACAGCAGTCGGATGCTTTCCCATCCCTTGCGTTGTGTTACATTGCTTACATGCTCCTGCGCGTCCTGCAAATTGAAGTGAAGTTCAGTCATACTAGACATTCCCTTTTTATTCCTATTCACGTAAATCGATCTCGTATATCGATCGTGGTGTTATCTGCGCGTGCGCGCGAGTTTTCACCTACAGAAATGGTAGGCTACTCTGTTATAACCGCTCAGTTATGTGTAGAAATTTCCACACCTACTCGCTACGTGGCCGAAGTTGGCTAATAAAGTGAAGAAAGCAGAGGACTGCTGTGTGAGTAACCCCCATACAATGTTAGAACATAGGTGTTGTACTTGAGTGTGCGTTATGGATCGGAGGATTTCCTTTGTACAGTGAAACCTGTGACTAACGACCACCCCTTGGGGCCAGAGAAAGCGGTCTTTAGTGGCAGGTGGTCCTTAGTTAGAGGTTTGCACCGCACAACCGTATATGAATGTCAGACCGTCCGTGCCTTGCGGTGTGGTCTTTAGTGCCAGGCTGGTCGCTAGTCACGGTGGTCTTTAGTTGCAGGTTTTACTTTATTTTCAGATTTACAGTTGTGGCAAGTGAAATCCGACACTTGGCATAAGGGACTGCACCGTGCATCCTGCAGCCTCTGCAGCCCTGCATACGTACAGTACATGTGCTGCATACAACTTTATCTGTCTGATGACAGAATTCGTACTCATCACAGTCAAGGTTCAAAAGGTGCTGGCAAAAATGAATGGGAATTGGATACCAATACTCCTTATGTGTACCATATTTGTGAACTGTGTGTATCTAAACTGTGACTTTTCGACCTGTTTGGGATGCATGCGGCTCTATAGTACAAATTAGGTGCAGTGCATTACATCATTGATGTCCATTTGAGGCGCTGTCCCCTATGGCAAGTGTCGGATTTCACTTGCCACAACTGTAGTACAGTGTTGAACAAGACCAACTTTGCTATTGCTATGCTCAATGCAACCAATGAAAAAGAAGGGAAAGGGGAAAGTCCTCCAAATCGTTGCCAATCTTCCCATTTTTCATTGATCGGTGTAGCCCCGAGACCATTCGAAGAGTGTTGCGTGAATATACGGCTATAATGGATGGCTAACGTGGAGTCTGTGCACATTGAGAGCTGTGTACACATGTACAGTACAACCTGCCAAGGTGACCACTGGGATAAGGTGACCACCTGCCCCAGAAGACCACTGAAACCAGGACCAGGGAATGCTATTTCCAGTCGAAATGACCCTGGATAAGGAGACCACCTGGTAACAGAGACCACACGTTGGAGGTCCTCTGAGCGGTCGCCTTAGACAGGTCACACAGTAAACTCATACCTCGGTTATCCGGACCCTGCAGTTGCGGGCACTTCGGTCTGCCGGGCACTCTTTGGGCGAGTCTCAGTGGCAATATCACTACTCGTTTTGAGTCTTTTGTCACTTTTGTGGAAATAGCGACGTCATGTGCCATATCTATGGCTTTCCATGAAATGTATGTGATTTGGAGCTACGGACCTTTCAAAGTTTCGGGCAGTGCCCGGTCCCGGATAAACGAGTTATGAGTGTACAACTAACCTGTCCGAGGTGATTGCAAGCACGGAATTCGCAAGCGCGGTCCTTCAGCTGCACGCTAAGCTTGAGACAGCTCTCCAGATAGGGTACACCCTTTGCATGCTGGCCACCAGTCATGCAGTGCTGACCCAGGTTGTTCAGGGCTCGGCACTGAGCCAGGACGTCGCCGAGATCTTCGGCCATGCGCAGGTGCAGGTGGAAGTGCTTGGCCGCCAGCTCGTGATCCCCGACCGCCTGGTACGCGATACCCAGGTTGCCGTGGGTACTGGCCTCGCTGGAACGATCACCAACCTAAACGACAACACCAACACCAGATACAACTATGTTAAATCCAGGTGAAACAAATCCTGGTTTCAGTCTGTGAGGGTTGTGGCACACCTCAGATTTCAAGGAAAAAAGTCCAATTAATGATGCCGAAAGGACTGCATGTTATTGCTGCTGGAAGTATGCTCGGGCAATCAATACATATGTGTACATAGACATGTATCTAAATCATCTGGCTGCATATACTGTGCTCTGTGTCCAGTGGACAGAGTCAGAAATACACTTCTCACAGTGGACAGGGTCAGAAATACACTTCTCACAGTGGACAGAGTCAGAAATACACTTCTCACAAAGCAATAGTGCAACTAGCCCTTCTTTGCCATTATCTAGAGTTTTGGGCTATGAAAAAAACACACTGAGAAAGCATAACCAAACCTCCCATTACCCAGGCGTCAGTGCACAACATAGCTAAGGAGTGGTATTAAACAAAAGCCTACTTCCGAAGCTATGGCCAACTCCAAGAGATGAAACTTGATTGCTTCCGCGTTATTGCCGAGCGCTTTGTGTACGATGCCCAGGTTTCCATACGCACAGCCCTCGGCAACGCGATCGCCAAGCTCCTTGACGATGGCCAGATGCTCTCGGTGATAGGCCAGTGCCTGGTTGTAGCGACTCAGCTGATAGCAGAGCGTTCCCATGCTGGTGAGAATGGCTGCTTCCGTGTGCTAAGCAGTAACAATAGAATACACAGGGGAAAACTTGTTAAGAAGAACACTGACAAGACACACTTTCACGTTGGAAGAACTATAATTCAAAACTCTATTGGAACTAACAACTCAGATGGTGAGCCAAGGAAAAAATATTTGTAACATGGAAAATGTGGGCACATGTTATGCGATCGAGTCCACCAACTAAATGCCGTGGAATATCTCAGTACTCCTTGTCAGTTTTGCGCTAGATTGTGCATGTCTGACTGTTAAAAATCTGGTTTAGTTGGTGGACTCGATCGCATAACATGTGCCCACATTGTTCTATTGGAACGCTATTGGATAAATCACTCTGGAGTACAGAGTAAAACGCGTGGATAAGAAGAACTCCCATTGTTGCGAGCATATATCATCGGTCCTCTGGTACTTGTCCTAAAGAGGTTTGACTGCAAATGTGAGTGGATGCAAGCACATCTTATATCAGGTACAGCGAGTCTGTAACATCAAAAATAAGATAACAGATGACCCAACAAGGATAAGCGACAGTTAGCAGCTGCTCTTGGACATTCAACGCTTCTTCAGGCTATCCGAGTGGTCACCTTCGCATGTTGTACTGTACATCTGCACACAGCTCTCAATGTGCACAGACTCCACGTTAGCCAGCCATTATAGCCATATATTCACCCACCACACTCTTCGAATGGTCTCGGGGCTACATCAATCAATGAAAAATGGGAAGATTGGCCTTGCGCAACAATTTGGAGGACTTTTCCCTTGTTCCTTCTTTTTCATTGGTTGCATTGAGCATAGTGACAGACACCAACGAACGTTTACTGCTAAGGAGGTTATATGTTGCCGGTATATCAAACACAAAGTACGAACGATTATGGTATGACTGGACCAATTGAAAACTGCTTGCGGCGATCCTGCCTCTTCACTCACCACGTCGGATAGCTGCTTGACCAGCTTGAACTGCTCGCTGTGGCAGGAGAGCGCCCGTTCGTTGTCGCCCGTACTCCGGCACACCTGTGCCAGTCCGCCGTAGCCAGCTGCCTGCACGGACAGGTCACGGGTCTCCACACCCAGCGTCAGCAGCTGTTTGTACGACGCCATGGCTGCACTGAAATTCAGATTGCTGCTGTAGGCCAAACTGAGCTTTTCACATGCCTGCATGAACGACATCATACAAATAACGCACATATAACGACACGAGCTACGTTGCTACTTGCAAGATTTCTCAATACCGTTAGGGCAAAGCCCAAAGACAAAAGTTAGCAATGGAATGAGGCTGAAATCCATGTAAAGGAAAAGTCCTTGATGTTCCTGCCAAGGGTCGTAAGGGAGTGTAAAGCCCGCTTCATCATTATTTTACTACTCTGTCATGATGCGTTCTGGTATGAATTCCTCAAATCCTGAACAAACAGCAAAATAAGCCGAAATGAAACGGACTTCCAAGTCCGGCCCAATACAGAACTGCACAGCGAACTAGGCAACGTGCTATCGAACACATTCCGCAGTTAGATTCCCGACTACAACCGGGCTAGCAAGCTACTTGCCTTGCACTGCTCCGCTGGTAACTTGAGACGCTGCGCCAGATGCAAGTGTTTCTGATGGCACGTTACGGCCTTCTCATAATCACCTAGCTGCTGGTAACATGTACCCATGTGACCTAGCTGCTGTGCCTTTACACAAACACACAAGAAAATACATCAAATGGCATTAGGCGCTGGGAACGAGAAACACCGCACCACGGTAAACTCCAAGCACATATCGTCCACTTAATTAAAAGCGGGCTGTTGCTTGACGGTAAACATCAGTGAGTCAAGTATGACAGCTTCCTTTTGCTCGATTGTGTGGAAAGCTCTGTCTTATACGGGCATACAGCGCTCTTCAGGAAGCAGCACGTCTTAATACTGATTACCAGTTGAAGATAAGACTAAAGACACTTTTTCAATTTTCGAAACATGTGTTTGTGTTAACATGTGCCATGTGTAATCCACACAACCGGTGAATGCATGGCATTTCACTAGTCCTGGAGGTGAGGCGTGTACACTTATATGTTATCTATTGTCAGGACTGTGATTGCATGACTTCTTAAAATTCAACATTGTATCTCTAAATAGTACCAAGACCGACTCACTCCAATACTTACTGACACAAACGAGTGCGCGCGCGCACACACACACACACACACACACACACACACACACACACAAACCCACTCTTTGCTATTACCTGCAGCAGAGGTTCGTCGCCAAGGTTCTTGGCCACCGTGTGCGCTTTCTTATGGCAGACCAGTGCTCCTCTGTGATCGGACTGCGAGGATCGCAACAAACCCAGATTGCTCAACGCACTGACAGCTGACGGCCCATCATCCAGCTCAACAGCCAGCGTGTGCTGCTGTTCGAAATGGCTTGTAGCCAGGCGATGGTCGCCTAGCGACATGTACGCTGAGCCGAGACTGCCATGGGCGCGGCACTGGGCCGGCCGGTCCTCTCGTTCCCGGGCCATGTCCATGCTACGTGTCATGTGACGTAATGCATTGTTCTGAGATACACACACACACACATACACACACAAACACGCACGCACAAACACGTATACAAAACACACACACACACACACACACACACACACACACACAACACACACACACACACACACAATGACAAAATGAAATGCGTGAGAAGGTGGACAAGTTCAAATATCCTCTTATGATAATGCCTCCGCTCAACAGCAGACTAGAGCTGGACAGGAACACACAGTACAAATCAGATCAGCATGCTCTTGTCAAACCGAAGATAAGGTTAGGCTTACATGGTCTCCATTCTTTTTTACTCTCTTTCTCACTCCTGTGTGCAGCCACACCATACATGCTACCACCTCCAACACACCTCACTCATATGCACACCCAAACGCACACAGCAACAAAAGTCAGCCTCTGCGGGGACAGCAGCAACAGCAAGAAGAAAAATAAGGTTTAGCTTACATGGTCTCCACTTCTCCAATACGCCGTGCCCAGCGCAGCCTGCAGAGCCAGCATCAGCTTGTTGTTATCAGTACCGACTGCCTCGGCTGCCTTCAAGATGGGAAGCGCTGTCTGCGAAGACCCAGCAGTGTTCATCTCTTGGCCTATGATGCTGGTGATGATGAAGGTGTTGTCGGCTAGGCCCATGTGCTCAAAGCGGCTCAGAATCGGTCCAAACGTGGCTGCATGGAGCACATAACATCAGATACAGACAACGCACTAACACAAGCACCAATGCAGTGTACTCACGTAGCGATGTTGTATGGAAGTGATCAGCACACGAAGCACAGAAGCCATATAGTTTCGACTGGGCCTTTCGTACCACTACTTTTCAAGTCGAATGCAGTGGTGCTTACTGCCTTGTTACTCACCACTGTATTCGACTTGAAAATAATGGTACGAAAGGCCTAGTCGAAACTATAATATGGCTTCTGTGTTTCATGTGCTGAAGGAAGTGATTAGGTGCACAGCGTGTGTAATGATCCCTTTTGAACCTTTAAAAAAATGTGTAGGAGATACAGAATCCCTCATACCCCCCACTCTCTTACAGCCACCACCTAGCACCCTGGCCCCGAAAGAAAAAAGAGATTGGGTGGATGCTAGGTTTGCATTGTTTTACTTCACCAGAAGGGCTTTGCGATGATGTCGCCCTTGGTGGCGTTAGAAGTTCTTCCAGTCGTAGCCGTTTATTTTAATCGTCTGAACACTGAGAAAGCCAAGGCCGAGTAGATCTACGTATGAAACCTTGGGGTTGGGTTACTATAAGTCGACAACTTTTCAGCCCATTCAAATTTCGGCCTCCCAGGGCTAAAACCCATTTCGGCCGCATCGCATTTTCGGCATGTACTGCTGCCGCCTGTATACACTGTCACAATGAACCTTGCAAAACAAAATTTCGGCCGCAACAAATTTTTGGCCAAACATGACCAGGCCGAAAGTAGCCGAAAATAAATAATCGCCGAATATTCGTTGACTTACACAGTATGCATGGAGGCACAGTTGAGCAACGTATGAATCATTGGGATTGGGCTGCACGTAATACGGCATAATTGGGTGATGTTCGGCTAGTACTTGTCTATAGCCTCATCTTTTAACTTTTCTTTTTCCTTTTTGCTTCATCGGCGCTCTTTGAATTTGTGTGTGTCAACACTGTTGAGTTGTTCGATGTTAAATGAATACTACTACTACTACAAGTACATGTAGTAACTAGTGGTGTGCACGGGTAGTCGGGTACCCGTGCTACCCGTGAGGAATTCAGGTAGACGGGTACAGAATGGCGCCCGAAAGCCCGACGTCGCAGATGACATCATGTACAGTGCACGTGTACAAATTCATGCAATACTCTGCATGTCTACGCAGTGTGTAAGGGAACGGGTGCACTGTGGTGTTACCATGGAAACATTACCCGATCGGGTACCCGTGCTACCCGTGGAAAACTACCCGAACCCGATACCCGAAGAAAATGCTACCCGACTCAGCCCAAGTAGTAACAATACATTCTAACCTTTCAACGGCGATAACATGGTGACGTCTTTGAGTGCGTTGAGCAGCAGCGTGTTCGCCGGTTCGTACATCAGTCCGTGAGAGAAGGCCACCATTGCTCTCTCATAGTGCTGTAGACTTTGCAGTGCCTGGCCTTGACGTAAGAACGCCTGTGCATGAAACGGGGGGTGATGTGTATCTATATTCATTACGTCATAGTTGTACTGCATGCACGCACACACACGGATTAGTGGAGTGTGCTTCTTTTTCCTGTTGTTCTTTCTCATGACATGTTTTGTTTCCGTTCCCAAGTCTTCACGAATAAATAGTAACGTATCATGGCGCAGTGAACTTGTTCTTTCCTGTGTCCGTGCCTTGTGTCCGCACCTTGTAGTGTTTGCACGGGCCCAGTTGTTTTTTCCGTATGAAGTAGTAGTTTCCGCGATCGAAACTCTGTCTCAGTTGAATTATTTTAGTAGTGTATTTGTTCGTACTCGTGGACGAGTGACTAATCGTAATGGAACAATCACAGGACGATACCGGATTTGACCTGTCCTCCGCGACCGAGCGACAGCAGGAATCTCAAATGGGTGTCCTGATGAAATTTATGGAGCAGCAGATGCGTGCAGCTGAGGCTCGTGATAAGGCGATGCAAGATCTGTTCAAGAATGTTCAGAGCAGGTCGCTATCACCATCGCAGCCTCAGTTCACTCCGCAGCCCTCAGCACTAGCTCAGTCCACCTCGCAGACCTCAGCACCACGGCCAGTGAACAGTGTTTCCTGCCCACACTTATTGTCGTCTGCGACGCTGGCTGATTTTCACTCCTTCGTTGAAAGCTGGAGAGATTTTAGTGTTTGCCAGCATTTGGCCAGCCAGGCTCGTGAGGCCAGAGTGGCAACACTCCGTCAGTGTTTCGATGAGGAGCTGCGACGTTTTATCCGAGAGGATATTATTTGCATACCAGCTTCAGCTGACGTCGACCTGATGCTGGAGCGCATTCAGGCGTATATCAGACGGCAACGTAATCCACTGTTGGACCGCATAGAGTTTTACCAGCGTGTCCAGCAAGCTGGAGAATCATTTGATGCGTTTTACACAGCCCTGTGTGAACTACAAAGTGCATGCGACTTCTTGTCACACAGCCTATGTGGAACGTGTGATGCTCGCTGCTGTGCGCAGTGCAAAGGCCTCGGCCGTACCCTCAAGGAGGAATCTCTGCGCGACCGCGTCGTCATTGGTGTGCGGAACGATGAGACGCGACACAAGTTGCTCGCAACTCATGGTCTCACGCTCGACCAGGCTGTCACCCTCTGTCGGACGGAGGAAGCAGCATACCACACCAAGGCACACATGCCCAGTCCTGGCCTCCAGGCAAGTGCTGCCAAGCAGTCGGCGTACAAGCAGCAGAAACGTCACAAGCCAGCTGACTCTAAGCCAAGTGAGACATCAAGTGTGGCCAAGTCCACTTGTCCAAATTGTGGTCGTTCTGACCACACGAAATCTGTATGTCCTGCCAAGGGCAAGAAGTGCAACTCCTGTCACGGCATTGGGCATTTTCAGCGAATGTGCAAGGGCCAGAAACAGCCGAAGAATAGCTCTGCTGCCAAGCTTGGACAGCTGAAGCTACAGCGTGCGTCTCGCGTGGACCGTCGCACAGTACCTGTTTCGACCATGCTGCAAACAGAGGATCAGCCATCCCAACTGTCCTGGACACCAGACACAGGCAGTGACGTTGATGCCATTGGCGAGGAGCACCTCACGCAGATCGGTGGGTTCGTCGAGAACTTAGATGACGACCACGACTGTGTGCAGGCTGTGACCGGTGAGCCGCTACGCAACCTGGGCAAAATACGTGCGACTCTACGAGTCGGTGAGACGCAGCATGAAACCGTCATCCATGTGTACAAGGGTCTACACGATGCCCTGCTCTCTCATACCTCATTGCGTGCGCTGAAGTTTCTCCCACCTGATTGGCCAGTCCAATTCACCGCTGAACACGAGGGTACATCTTCACCCAAGATCTGTGCAGCTGTTTCGTCATGCGCTCATCCTAGTGATGCTGAGTTAGCGCGGACACGTGAGCAGCTCCTGCAAGAGTTCGCTGACGTTTTCTCGGATTCCGGTCTGAAGCCAATGGAAGGTCCGCCAATGGAAATTGAGCTACAGCATGATTCTAAGCCTTCCTGTGTGCACACTGCTCGACCAATACCGTATGCATTCCGTGACCAGATCAAGACTCAGCTCGACGGCATGGTCAGCGACGGGATTATTGAACCAGTGACGGAGCCCAGTGAATGGTGCCATCCGATTGTCATAGTAGACAAGAAGGGCAGCACTGAGAAGCGCCTCACAGTTGACTTCAAGCGGCTGAACGACCAAGTCCGTCGTCCCGCGCATCCCGTACATACGGCACGTGATGTTGTCTCTGGAGTTGGCTCTGCTAAGTTCTTTACGAAGCTCGATGCAAGGCACGGCTACTGGCAGATTCCTCTCAGTGACACTGCTCAGGAATTCACCACGTTTATCACCCCGTACGGCAGATATCGTTATCTACGGAACCCGCAGGGTCTAATATCTGCTGGAGATGAGTTCAACCGGCGCACTGATGCTGCGTTCTCTGCCATCCCGCGTCTCGGCAAGGTAGTCGATGATTGCCTAGCGTACGACGACGACTTTCTGTCGCATGTCAGCCACATGCGCGAGATTCTGCTCTGCGCCAGGGAGCATGGTATCACGTTCAGCCCCGCCAAGTTTGTGTTCGGTACGCAACGTATCCATTTCTGCGGCTACAACGTCACGCCTGATGGCTGGGTCGTCGACGATGATAAGACGTCCGGTATTCGCCAGTTTCCAGTACCCGCCAACAGAACCGATCTCCGTTCGTTCCTCGGTCTAGTGAACCAATGTGGCGAGTTCACTCCACATCTAGCCGAGTTGACCAATCCTCTGCGTGGCCTGCTCAAGACCTCCCGTGAGTTCATGTGGGACGCTAGCCACACTGCAGCGTTTGAACGGACACAGGAAGCTCTCTTGTCTCCTCCGGTTCTCGCTTTCTATCAAGTTGGTCAAGACCTCCGGCTTGAAACCGATGCATCCGCTCTAAGAGGTCTCGGATTCGTGCTTTGGCAAAAGCAGAATGATCAGTGGCGTATTATTCAGTGTGGATCCCGCTACCTGTCTGATGCTGAAACACGTTATGCTGTCATCGAGTTGGAAATGCTCGCTGTAGTATGGGCCGTGCGCAAATGCCGCATCTACCTGTCTGGTGCACCATTTGAAGTCGTCACCGACCACAAGCCCCTGATTCCGATCATCAACTCATATTCGTTGGATCAGATCGAGAACCCGCGTCTTCTACGATTACGCCTCAAGCTCCAAGCCTATCAGCTGCAGGCATCTTGGCGAAAAGGTTCTGAAAATGCCTTCGCCGATGCGCTGTCCCGGAATCCTGTTGGCATTCCTTCCACCACTGATGAGCTTGGTGAAGCCCCGTCGCTTCATTGCCGCAGCATTCAGATCTGCATGGTGCACTCGGACACTGAGCCGAATGCGAATCTCAAGGTTGCAGAGCTGCGCGAAGCTGCAGCTGCAGATGCCATGTACCAGTCATTGATTGAGTGTATCTTGACTGGATTCCCTGATCGCCAGCAGAAGTTGCCTGCTCCGTTACGTGCGTACTGGAATGGACGTGAGCATCTCTCCGTCGACCATGGCATTGTGTTGAAGGGCAACCGCATTGTTGTTCCTGAATCATTGCGTGCTCAGGTATTGCACAACCTCCACGCTTCACACCAAGGCCTAGTGCGTACTAAGTCTCGTGCGCGTCAGCTTGTATACTGGTCCGGTATCACCAAGGACATTGATACACTCGTTCGTTCTTGTCCTGCTTGCCGCGAACACCAGTCGTCCCAGCCAGCTGAGCCCCTGCTGAACGACCGCACCCCGACACTACCGTTTGAATGTGCATCTGCCGATTTGTTCACTTGTCAAGGTCACGACTTCCTTGTGTATGCAGATCGTTTGACTGGTTGGCCCTGTGTCGCGCGTACTGGCCGCACCACCTCATCGCATGACGTAATACTAGCATTCCGTCGCTGGTTCTCTGATGTTGGTGTTCCTGCTGTGCTGTGTACAGATGGTGGTCCCCAGTTCTCCTCGCATAAGTTTGCTGAGTTTTGTAAGCGCTGGCAGGTAAACCATGTCATGTCCTCTCCCCACTACCCGCAGAGTAATGGGCACGCCGAAGCTGCTGTCAAAGCCATGAAGCGTCTTATCACCAAGACAACCGTAAATGGCAATCTTGACACAGATGACTTCCGCCGAGGGCTACTGGAATGGCGAAACACACCTGGCTCCTCTGGTCAGAGCCCCGCTGAGCTCCTATATGGCCGCTCTCTCCAGTCATTCGTCATTGCACATTGGAAGGAGTTTGATTCATCCTGGCTCTCCAAAGCGACGACACGTGATGAGACTGCCATGCCATCCGACGATTCCGTCACAGACAAGTCGTCAACTCGTCGCTCGTTGCCGCAGCTCCGCCTCGGCACCCACGTGGATGTTCAGCATCCGCGCACCAAGCAGTGGTCTATTCGTGGGGTCATTGTTGCTGTCGGTAATCATCGGGACTACCTAGTGAAGTTGCCGAGTGGTCGCATTTATTGGCGGAACCGCAGATTCCTGCGTCCGTATCGCCCACTTGTGCCTGCACCGCTTGTTGTCCAACCGGCTGCTGCTGACGCCTCTTCCCCGCCGCCGCCGTCCCGCCACAGCGCACGTCAGCGCAAGCCACCCCAGCGTTTAAACATTGGTTCGCATCATGGACAGTCCTATGATTGACACTCTTGATCACTAATGTCAATTTCTGCTGTCTCTGCTTTGTTGTTTTCATTCTTCATTTTGTTTTATTTATGATAGATGTTGCTGTCACAGGTTTCGCAACATCTCGAAGGGGCGTGATGTGTATCTATATTCATTACGTCATAGTTGTACTGCATGCACGCACACACACGGATTAGTTGAGTGTGCTTCTTTTTCCTGTTGTTCTTTCTCATGACATGTTTTGTTTCCGTTCCCAAGTCTTCACGAATAAATAGTAACGTATCAGGGGGGGGGGGGGGGGGCGGGGGGGGGGGGGGGGGAGGGAGAGATAGTGAAAGGAGACCATATCACCTATAATACGCACACGCCTTTATAAGATAACAACTGCGCACTTCCACTTCTGTCTCCACCATGACAGTGGTAAGAGAATCTGGAGAGAGATACCGCTACTGGAAATTGAACCATCCAAGAGCTGATTAGGTGCAATGGACTAGTGAAAATTAATGATTTTGCCGCAGGTTCAGCGGCTCACTACCGCACGCCCGACCATGCCTGCCATCCAGTGTGCCTACTACAGCTTGCATTGGGCTCACCAAACACAGTCGTATTACACTTGTAACACACTCCTAACACACTAATAACACACCTGTAACATACCGGTACTATACAGGGGCGTCGGAAGGTGATTTAGTGCGGTACGGTCAGCCATCTGAAGTACAATTCACTCGCGGGGGAGTGGTGGCTGAGCCGAAAACTTGGAAATTTAGATCCCAGATCAGTGTATTTTATTGATTTACGGGTTACCTGGGACAAATAGTGATACAGTCATTACCGTAGTGTCCGTACCGTGTCCGAAGCCCCTGCTACAGTACAATTTAATGTAGTAGCACACTCGTAACACATGCATAACACCCGCATAACACAATCGTAACACAATCGTTACACACTCGTAACACACACATAGCACACTTATCACATACACATAACACACTCGTAACACATGCATAACACACGCATAACACATTAGCAACATACTCGTAACTCAGTAGTAAAATGCTTCTAACACACTCGTAACACACTCGTAACACACTCGTAACACACTTATGCATGACTCACTATACCTCTCCTGGTAATGTTTACCTTTGCCCAATTCGGTTGCAACTCAATGGCCCGCTCGGCATCCGCAAGTGCCTCCTGAAACTTCTCAACCTTGACAAAGGCGGCCGATCGGCTACAAAACAGCTGCGCATTGCCGCGATCCAGCGATATTGCTTCGGTGTAGCGCTCGACTGCCTGAAGACAAGAGGGCACGTCAAGAAATACGAACACAGACGGGAAGACTTATAAGGCAGTACACCAGGGTTTGCACTAAAAAGAAAGAAAACCGACATGGATACCCGAGTCGCCTGCCAGGCTCTCGCATCTCAGTCAGAAATCTCCACACCATAGTACGTTTGCACAACGCTGTGAATGGTAGTAATTCTTCCGGCAGCTTCTAGTTGCCGGGAAACAGACCTTGGTGGTAAATTTAGCAACCAGAGTCGCTAGGGTTTCGAAATATCCAAAATGGTGGCATTTATCTTGAGTGGACTCGGATGGAGAGCCAAGGATAAATATATAGAAAAGAAAAAGGGCCAATAAATTACAAGTTACACTATAATGTCCACTAACAACACCAGAAATCAGCTCATGCGATAACATTGCACGACACTGACCGACGATACTTTAGTTCCATTGTCCTTTTTCTTTTCTATAAAATAATTATCTTGAGGATTTTCCATCATCCTTACAGGACTATGCACACTTAGGTAATGAAATGTTATGTAGCTACTGTTACAACCCAACGCCTGTCCCCAAACATAGTTTTGTCACTGTGCAGTGCATGATTGTGTGTTATACAGTAAAACCTGTGATTAACGACCACCCGTTGGGGCCAGAGAAAGCGGTCTTTAGTGGCAGGTGGTCCTTGGTTAGAGGTTTCCACCGCACAATCATAATATATGAATGTGAGGCCGTCCGTACCTGGCGAAGTGGTCCCTAGTACCAGGCTGGTCGCTAATCACGGTGGTCTTTAGTTACAGGTTTTACTGTAGTACCAGGCTGGTCGCTAATCACGGTGGTCTTTAGTTACAGGTTTTACTGTAGTACCAGGCTGGTCGCTAATCACGGTGGTATTTAGTTACAGGTTTTACTGTAGTACCAGGCTGGTCGCTAATCACGGTGGTCTTTAGTTACAGGTTTTACTGTAGTACCAGGCTGGTCGCTAATCACGGTGGTCTTTAGTTACAGGTTTTACTGTAGTACCAGGCTGGTTGCTAATCACGGTGGTCTTTAGGTACAGGTTTTTACTGTGCCATTAAACTGCTCATCGAGGGAGTATGCAGTAACGCCATGTTACGCCGCTTCAGTTACAGCCCTGCAGCAGTACCCGAACACCAGTGTCCCTGTGCAGTGCACGACTGCATTCACACCACTAACCTGCTCAAAGTTTGCCGGCTGCTCGTACATCTCTGCCTCCTCCTTGGCGGCCGCAGCTGCCTGTGTCCGTTTCAGAAAGTCCCATTGAGCCTTGTTGAAGGACATGGTCCTGGCCTACGCAAAGACAATCAAATGAAACACATAATTAAAACAGAGAGGTTCCAGGCTGTCCAAGAGAGTGCTCAATACCGAGAGGTAGAGCTGGTTCAAACAATAGGAGGACAGAGAAAGTGTTTTTACTCCGAGTTTCACGCACTAAGCTTTGCTTTGTGAGTATATAAACCAATACCGATCCAGATTTCTCATTACTGTTTTCTGATGATCTCTTAGTGCGTGAAACTCGGAGTAAAAACACTTTCTCTGTCCTCTATTGTTTGAAACACAGAATTGATGGATAAGCAAGAAACAAGATGACCGTGAGAATTGAGTGTTTCTAGACCTACACGCCCAAGGCCGTCACAGCTGGGGCGGCTGAGGCTGCCTGCCTCACTCTTGCAGACGACTATTATTTATTTTTTAGCGTCAAGACAGGCATAAGCCTAATGAAACAGGATCATGAAGCAACACGAACTATTACATCATCATTAAAGATGGGTTGCATGCAGTGACATCACATGCACTGGTTTCCTTGCACACAATACATACTCGACGATGCTATTCACAGACAGTCAGACCTCGCTTAACCGCACACATCTGTTTCCCACAAAAATATCCGGATGGGCGATGGAACCGGATAATCGAACACCGGTTATGTTGGATGCATCACGCAGGCTGTAAATCCGTAACCAGCTATTTTCTTCCGGATGGCGAGGGTTCCGGATTAAAGAGGACCGGATAAGCGAGGCCTGACTGTATATAATTATATATTCCTCTATTGCTTGAGACTTGAAAATGATAGTACATGTAGATGTGCAGTGAGACCTGTCTAAGGCGACCATCAAACGGACCTTCAAATTGTGGTCGCCGTGTACAGGTGGCCTCCTTATCCAGGGTCATTTTGACTGGCGATAACACCCCTTGGTCCCAGTTGTAGTGGTCCTCTGGGGCAGGCGGTTACTGTGTCAGAATGGTCGCCTTGGCAGGTTTCATTGTTTTTTTTTTGTTTTGTTTTATAACCTGCCCTGTGTGCTCTCGACCGTCAATTATGTATGTCTCTGGGCGCATGTTCTAGGCATGTGGACACAAGCCTACACCATCCCTGCCCCATTTGAGTCTGATCCTTCTTTAGTCTAATTATACATTTAAGCAAGTCGGATTATCATTTCAGCACGTCAAGAACTATCTACAAAACCCCTTGTTTGCTCATGCTCCTCCAGCTGCTGATTTCCCAGGAGGTAGAGGGGTTTCGCAAATCAAGAAAATCAAATAATGGGCAATAGCCATTGGGAAACTCATGGGAGAGTTTGATGTTCCTCAGAATCAAACTGTGACTAAGCTTCAATCAAGTATTCCTCTCACCATCAACAGTGATCAATATCCGGGAACAAGCCTGGCAAAACTAGCCTCATCAAGACAGGAAGCTGCAGTTTCACCTGCAGTCATCACCTATTTTACCAAAAATTATTCCACGAGTTCAACCTTGCATATGCCCATTGTGAATTACTTCCCTTTTTTCTGACGCGTGTGATAGCGATTTTCCATAGTGATGTTCACATGGATAAGAGGCCGCAAAAACATCCCTTTCACAATGTTGAGGCAGTGTAAAATTTGGGCAATAAATCCAGGTGCAGACATTTTGAAAGGAAAGCAGATCGTCTCATTGCTACACAAACAGTACAGCGGTGAATGGCATCGACCTGTTCCACAACTTTCTACAGCTGGGCTGCTGTGCAATTTGCTTTCTCAGAACACAAAAGGAATACTCCACACGCTATGTACTGAGTACGGGATCACGCCTATCGTTACTCACTGTTCGCTTGTCCTCCTGCATCGCTGCCGCTTGCTGCTCAGCACGATACCTATGTTGATGTGCGTTCGCTCCTGGCGAACTATTTCACCGCCGCTGGTGCGGAGACGCAGCTCACAGCCGCAGCGTCGCAAGTATCCGCCGTGCTGCTCTGCGACTTCCGCAGGAATCGCCTCAGCAAAAATGCCACCACCGTGGACAGCTTCTGCCGCGGTCGGCAAAGAGAGCTACAGGTCGCTCGCAGCTACAACAAATTCTGTTTCCACACATGACACTACATTTCATTGAATACGAGAGTCATGAAACGCTACCCAGCCTTGGCCTGACCAACACAGCGGCCTTTGAACGAAAAAGCTCACTGAGACATCTCCTGAGCCGTCAATGTCAATGCCGATGCAAACCGTTTCAGTCGAGGACTGACTTGGTCGCGGATGGAATATCGTGGAAACGGCGCATCGACCACTCCTAGATCTCCCGCCGCTAAAATTTATGCCATGGAACCTGATTGTGGAAGAAGGCGCAGCAGCACACCCGTTTCTACACAGATCGAACCTTGTCACACGTGCCAGCGGATATGATTATTGGGTAGCAGCACGCGACACTCGCTGTGCAGGATGCACTGCATGCACTGCATGCACTCCACGCACTGGCACTGATGAGTGATCATGGTGATGAAGCTGACAAAAAATGAATCTCCAGGCAGCGGTTGCAGATAAGTGCTTCGCTTTTCGACGGCAACCAGCCACGGGCACCAGAAACGAGTCGCTCTTGGCAGCCCTCGCAGTTGTTCAAGATGTTCGCACCTGCAGCTGCATGCATCTGGTGGCCGCTTTCTGAAGGCAACACACACTGCACTAGATGCTGAGCGCTCTCAAATCTCTTCTTTCCATTTTGTTTACAATGGTTTCGAGCACCACACTTACAAATGACAACAGGCACTTTCGCCTCCGACCTCACTTTTACTGTTTTAGTTTCCGCACTTGCTTGCAGCTTGGGTCAAATCGACTAGTACTACTACTACTAGTACTACTAGCAGTATGATCAACTCACTGTCTGTGCGCACTGCGTGCACACAGTCACTGGATATCTCCACAACAACAGTCAAGTCTACATTCGGGTTATTATAGCCATAGTTATAATCTTTATAGGATCATGCATGAGTACAGTCAGCTATGCTAGCTACAGACTCAGGTGAGTCAGGTCTCGTACTACTACTGTACTAGTACCGGTATGCATTTTGCTTGCGCTTGGCATCCCATTCACGACACCATGGCATCCCGATCCCATTCACGACACCATGTTGCAGACGTAACGAGTTACGTCGTTTCATCACGGACAGGTCACAACGCTTTTGACGTTTTGTCACAACTGAGTCGATGAACTGACAATTACTTTCGGGCTTGTATCGCTCCGATGTGTGTCATGATCATACATTGCCATTCAGGGAGTCGTAAAATACCGTATTTTATATAAATACCGTATTTTACGACTCCCTGATATGCCATTGCCATTGGCATTGGTCTTTCGGATCACGCACCATGTGGTATCGCCAACATGGATGGCGCACACCAGTTACATAATCACACGTCACGTGCTATCGAAAATGACGAAAATAATGGCGTCATCGCCTTTTTGATTTTTGATTTTTCAAGTTTTGTGTTGCTTCCTCGTTTCTACACAAAATTAATAACTTCTCCATGCACATCTCTTGCCTTCGCTGGTGCGGACAATTTTTTGAATCGACACAGCAGCGTCAGCCCCCACCAGAAGCCTGCTGGCCATTTGTGCAGAGGTTGACAAACCTGCGACAGGTGAACTGGGCAGGAAATGGCTCATGTATTTTCTGAAGCCGGGTGCAGCTCCGCACGCCACACGAGTTGAAACTCGTTTGACGTACGGTTACAGAACGTCGAGTTGCTGATTTCTTTTTAGAGAAAACTCGCTGATCGAAAAACTACCTTGGCTGGCTGACCTGCGGAGCCCAAACGCAGCCATGAGTGGAATACCTGTTCCAGGTGCATCCAAGTTGCGCGCTCCCGCCAGCAAATTGCAGGGAGCGAGCAAGATTCAGAAGCCTGGGACGTCCGCTGGCGCTGATGGCAAGCCAGCAGCGGCAGACAATGGCAAGAAAATTTCTGGCATCGCAACAGCATCCGGGAAGGGTTTACCCGCGCCGGGTGCGAAGAGCGCGACGGCGATGCCTGCCACTCCGCGTAAGACGGCGACGGCTGTACAACCTGCAGCAGTGAATCAGCAATCTGCACTGGCCGTCGGAGATACAGTGATGACCGGGGGGAAGCGCGGCGTCGTGCGCTTCCTGGGAACGACGAGCTTTGCGCCCGGCGAGTGGGCAGGAATCGAGCTGTTTGAGGCGCAGGGTAAGAACGATGGCACGGTAAAGGGTGACCGGTACTTCAAGTGTGCCGCCAATCACGGCCTCTTTGCCAAGCCAGACAAACTGGAGCGAGTGAGTGGTGACGGCAGTGGCGGCAGCAGCGCTAGATCGTCGTCCGCGGTAATGGCACCGCCCGCCACCCCTGCCGCTTCCAAGACAGGGTCGTCACGCGTTGCCGCGGCGACTGCTGCGGGCGTCAAGCCGTCGCCGGCGGCAGTGGCTGCAGTACGCACGCCAGCCCGCAAGCAGTCCATGTCGTCGGCGGCCAAGGTCGGCGATCGCGTGTCCGTGGGCGGCACGAAGCGCGGCATCGTGCGCTTCGTGGGCATCACCGACTTTGCCGCCGGCCAGTGGGTGGGCGTGGAGCTGGACAAAGGCGAGGGGAAGAACGACGGCATGGTGCAGGGAAAGCGCTACTTCAAGTGCCCTGCGAATCACGGCCTGTTCTCGCCGCTGCACAAGGTGGAGGTGCTGGAAAGCGGCAGCTCGCCGATGAGCCGCACCTCCAGCCAGATCGACATCTCTCGCACGGGCAGCAGTGCTGGTGTGGCCGCAGTGCACATGGCTGGCGCAGCGGCTGTGGCTGCTGCAGGTGCTGTTGCACCCACACCCTCGCCAGATGCGGTGGAGTTGGGAGGGCAACTGGAGTCAATGGTCGAGTCACTGCGCGAGCAGTTGGAGACGAGCGAGAAGGAGCGGCAGTCGCTCGTGGCCAAGCTGAACGAAGAGGAGAGGTGAGTGCGTGCTGCTGCGTTTGGTGTGCGTGTGTACACCTGTGTGTGTGTGTGTGGGGGGGGGGGGTGTATGTGTGTGTGTGTGTGTGTGTGTGTGTGTGTGTGTGTGTGTGTGTGTGTGTGTGTGTGTGTGTGTTGGCTCCGGGTTCCCAGTACTCAGTAGCCGAGGCTGTTGGTAAAGTAACTCCATTTCACTTCAAGTTACCAGTGCATCTACAGTCCATTTCGAAACTATAGACACGTAGGGTTTTTGAAATATTTCAAATTTGGCTGGAACATTTGGAGAATAGTTTTCGGAATATTGCTCAGGACCGCTCCACAATTACTCTCATATAGTTTCTAAACGATTGGATAACAGACGCCGAATTTGGAAAAATGTATGCACAAAGTGATCACAGATTTTATGTGGTATAGATGCTGGCATAACGGTTTTTGCCTAGGTACGCGTCTATAGTTTTGAAATGGACTGTAGTGTCTGCTTCTCTCAAAGCAGCGTGCTGTCTATACTGGTTACCCAGCAAGTATAGGGTGTGCATAGGTAACTGTCTTGGCCGTCCTATTCCGATGTGCTCCGTGTGGTGTAGACCAGATGTGCAGTGGAGATCGATTCACACAGCTATGCCGGTTGTGTGGATTAGGCAGTTATCTGGCGCTAGTCTTGATCTGTCTCATTCAGATCTTGTCCGCAATCGTTGCAACAAGAGAACATCTGAAGGTGCACATTCAGTGCATTTGCAGATTTGCGTGCTTCTCGTGCGATAAGTACTCAACGTGTCCAGGTGTTCTTTTACCACACGGGGTCTAAGATGATTAGTGAATTTTGCAGAGTGTGGATGTTCTCTGTAGTGACATTTCTAGTAGTTCTACTTCTTGCCGTTATTGGCACACACGCACACACACACACACACACACACACACACACACACACACACACACACACACACACACACACACACACACACACACACACACACACACACACACACACGCGCGCGCGCGCGCGCGCGCATACGCACACACACACACGCACACACACACACACACACGCACACACACACACACGCACGCGCGCACACACACACACCTGTCTCCCGAGTTTCTGTTGACCAAATTATCTCTACTCTTTTTCTCAATGCAGGAAAGTTGAGGACATGCAGTTCAAGTTCGAGGAGCAACTCGTTTCGGCCGGTGACTCATCAGGTACTGGCGACAATGCCGCCCTGCAGCAGCTGGAGGCCGATCTTCTATCGGCACGCGAGCAGCTGACCACATCGGAGGAGATGAGAGAACACTTGGAGCAGCGGAACGAGACCCTCGCCGATCAGTTGGAGCGCCTCCAGGCGGTGGAGCCCGCACAGCCTGCCGAAGACTCAGGTGAGATGCAGCGGACACGTACGATTCCGTGCAGTTTGTGTCGTTTTTTGCACTCTCGTCTGCTTTTGTTCACTTACCGTATTTTCCGGAGTATGAGGCGCCCCCCCCCCCCCCCCCCCTCTCCCCCTTTTTGCCACGAAATACAGACCCCTACCCTATTAATCGTTGATTTGATCATCGGAGTATAAGCCCCCCCCCCCCCACCCTTCTTGGGGTGAATTTTTTAGTGTTCAAAGTGCGGCTTATACTCGAGAACAATGCGGTTGTCGCTGCTTTGTTTAACACCACTCTGCCGGCCAGTATTCCTTGCCAAGACCAGCTATTTTCTGGGCTTGTTTATAGGCATCTGTATAATGGCTGCCAGGCTCTAGCTGTTCACTGCGCCGTGATACCTTACTACTAGTATTTTTTTCGTGAAGACTTGGGAACGGAAACAAAACATGTCAAGAGAAAAACCAACAGGAAGAAGAAGCACACTCAACTCTTCCGTGTGCGTGCGTGCATGCAATACAAATATGACGTAATGAATATAGATACACATCGGCAGCTGGTCGGCTGAAGAGCGCATGGAGGAGACTTGTAGAGGAATCTTCTTCATAGGCAGCTTGATTAAATCGTTTCTTTACACTTTGTTGTTTCTGCTTAACCGTCTTTCTGCATGCCCACCAGGTCCACTCCATTCCCAGATTACCGAGCTCCGGTCCCAGCAGGACGAGACGCTTGCCCTCTGCGACACGCTGCGCTCGCAGCTTGATGCGGAGAAGGCCACGGCGGCGAGCACGCAGGAGCTTCTCTCGCAGAGCACGGCAGTGGCCGAGGAGAAGTCCCAGTCCGCCGCGGCTCTCTCCAACCAGCTGGCGTCGCTGCGCGCCGATCTCGACGCCAAGACTGCCGAGCACAGCGCCTCGATGGCCGCCATGGCTGGTGACAGCGGCGAGCAGACACGTGTGCTGCGTGACCAGCTGGAGGCGCGAACTGCAGAGCTGCGAGGTGCTCGCGACGAGTGCGAGCAGGAGCGCACGACGGCGCGCGAGGCGAGCGCGCGAGTGCAAGCACTGCAGTCGCAGCTGAGTGACACCGAAGGCCAGCGGACGGCCCAGGCGGCTACTGTTCAAGACCTTCAGGCTCGGCTTGACGAGGCCGAGACCCGGCATAGCAATGCCGACGAACACACGTCAACGCTCAACACGCAACTCGGCGAAGTACGTCAAGAACTCACCGAGCTGCAGAACACTCTCACTGCGCGCACCACCGAACTCGAAGAAGCCAAAACCGAACGTCAGCAAGCCGCCGACGAATGCAAGTTGCTGTCCGCAACGGTGGCTACTCGTGCCGAAGAGCTGTCCGCACTGCAGGGCCGTGTAGATAGTGCTAGTGCCGAGACTCAATCTCAGTCTGCCGAACTGCTGCAGCAGCTGGCCAAGGCTGATCAAGACCGCCACACGCTGCGACAGGAACTCACGCTTCACCAGCAAAACCTTTCAACGTCAGAGGCGCAAGTCACAGACTTGAACCAGCAGCTCACGGCGACGAAATCGGAGCTGGAAACGCGCCGAACGTCGGATGCTGCAACCATCTCGGAAAGGGACGAACGCATCGACGGTCTCACCAGGAGCCTTCGCCAGGCCGAGGACAAAGCATCGGAGGATGCCACTCTGGCCGCCAGCAGACTGCAGAGCGTGACCGGCGAGTTTGAGGCTCGTATATCCCGCTTGAGCGGCGACAGTTCCGAGCAAGTGCAGCGCATCGAGGAGGAACTTAAGACCAGCCGTGCGGAGCTGCGCGTAATGGAGGACCAGGCACGCGAGCTAAACCAGCAGATCTCAGCTAAGGACGAAAACACCGGCGAGCTACAGCGCCAGCTGGCGGATCACGAGGCACGCACCCTGTCGGCGACCGGTCTTCAGGACAGCCTCGAGACGAGTCTGGGCGAAGAGCGCGGCAAGTACGCGGAGCTGCAGTCGTCGCTGCGCGGCCTGCAGAAGGAGCACGACGCGCTGCGCAGCTCTCTCGCCGAGAAGCAGGGTGAGATCATCACCGTCCAGACGCACGCCAACTCGCTCACCTCCGACCTGCAGAACGCCTCGCGACAGCTGGCCGCCAGGACTGCGGAACTCGCTGCCGCGCAGGAGAGCGGCAGCTCCAGGCAAGCGGAGCTCGAGGAGCAACTGCGGGCATCACAGCAGAACACTCTAGGCTTGCAAGACTCTCTACAGCAGGCACGGCTCACGGCCGAGCAACACAGCGCAGCCAAGAGTCAGCTGGAAAGCAGCCTGTCGCAACTGCAGCAACAGCTCCAACAGCAGACCGACCAGGGTGATCAGCTGGCTGCTTCGCTGAGCACAGCACAGGCTGAGCTCGTCGAGGCCAGGCAATCTCACTCGGCCGTGTCAGCGTCGATATCACAGCTGCAGCAGGACAAGGCTGACCTGCAGGAGCAGTTGGACGAGTTGACCAAAGCCTCCGGTAGCACGTCTGACCAGGTAGGGGGATCGCTTCTGTGTACATGTGGACATGTGTGTTTGTATTAGATAAACCTTGACTTGTAGAAACACCCTTTTGGGGGGGGGGGGGGGATGGGGAGTATGCTGGGATGAGCAATGTACTGTTCAAGACCTCACACAACCATACCCAAGTGGTTGGGTGGGGTGCCGGTGGCACACGTTATCTCATGGCGCAGTGGGCTCAACTGGTTTTCATGCGAGTTTGTTTGGCTGGTCATGTTATATCTAGTGTGTTTCACTCTCCATGGCTGCATTTTTTCATTGGCTTGAGGAATAAAAGGCAACTGACAATTCTGACGATGGGTGCCTGGCCCGAAACGTCATAATATTTTGAACACCACTAATAACAGAATTTTTCATCCAGTGCATGCGCCAAGAGTGAATAGCAACTGAATAGAGCGGTTGTCAGTTGACAAACACCCTTTTATTTACAATAAAAAATAAATAAATAAATTTCACGTTTAAAAAAAAATTGTTTTCATACTTTTGTTTCTTGTACTCTAGGTGACCTATCTGAGTGGAGAGATACGCGAGCGCGATGCGGCTATCGACAGCCTGCGCTTCGAGAAGGCCGACGTCGAGCGGCAGCTGAGCGCGGCGCAGGCGGAGGCTGCGGCCACATCGAGCGCGCACCTCGCCGCCGTGCAGAGAGAGCGTGACGGCCGCGAGCTGGCCGTCGCGCAGGCAGAGGCACGCGTGGCGGACGCCGAACGCCAGCTGCAGACGGTGCGAACGAGCCTCGACCAGCAGCTCGCCGAGGTGCGTGCCGACTTGGCCAGGGAGCGAGAACGTGCTGGCGATGCCCAGGCAAATGCTCACCAGCAGATGCTGGTGCTGCAGGAGAACTGCAACGACAGCCAGGCACAGTGCGGTGCTCTGCAGGAGCGTATCCGCCAGTATGAGAGCGCTCAGGCCAATCTCAGATCCGAAAGTGATCAGCTGAGGGTAAGAACTGGTCGTACATGTACTTGCATTGCTTTCTATGTTAAGTGTGTTTCTGCCATTGCTCCGACCGCCATGGTCTGGTGATGTTGATGATGCTGATGCGGCTGCTGCTACTAATGCTGCTGCTGTTAATGCTGCTGCTAATGCTGATGCTGATGCTGATGCTGATCCTGGGGCTGTTGGTGGTAATTGTGGTGGTGCTGCCGCTGCTGATGCTGCTGCTGTTGATAATTGAGCGCTGCAGTTTCCCGCCAATGTTGGTGATGCTAAAGCTCTTTGGTATCACCTTCTCTTGCGAAAGTTAATGCTGCCTTCTCCGGTGCTGCTCAATGAAATCCTATCAAGCGGGTCAATGCCACACCAGCCACTGTTCAGCCCTAGACCTGCGAACATTGGCAGGGCGCAAACCTGATTCATGCGATCGGATTTCATTGAGAACTACTGTACTGGGAAGGACTGAAGTGGAATGTTGTTGTTGTTGTTTTTTCAATTAGTCCCCCCCCCCCCCCCCCCCCCGTCGCCGACACCCTGAATGGAAGAATGTACTCTTTTTCATGTCCACATCCGATGCCGCATATATGTACGTCAAACTCTACATGGCAAACCAGTGGATGAAGGCTCTGGGGTTTGTGTACTTTTAAATAGTACTGTTTCATGAAAAATAGTTATGGGTTAACCCTTTAGGGCCCACAATTATTTCAAGAAATGCACTGCATACGCGAGCCCGGGTACTTATCTGGTCGTAACTTTGGTGTCCTTTGGCCGATTTTGGTGATCTTAGGCTTTCTGGAAAGCTCTTGGCCAGAGGAACACAGCGATAGCCAGCAATACATCACTCGATCCACAGAACCAGCGCCGCAGCGCGATACGGCGCTCCAAAGCCAGCATTGCGAGCGCCCAACTCAAATTCTCTGCCATTTCAACAAATTGCATCGCAGATCGCTCAAATTTTTTTACTGGAGAGCTGAGAAACATGCCTTTGCGATGACGTGAACTATCTGTAGCTGCGTGGGCCGCGAGTCAGGGAAAACCCCTAAAAACGAGTTCAAAATGCACGCGCTCGAGTTGACTCTGCTGAGCGAATTTAGTTCGAGTCTCGTATCTCCGCTCTCCAAACTCGGATCGCTTTCGGGGTTTTTCGAGCCGATAGCTGAGACAATTCTAATGTCGATAGCCCTTTCGATTGTCCGATTTGGTCAAGGGACGGCCGAGTTACGCCAGGTTGCGCTTTGAAAAGTATGCACTGTACACTGGTACGGATATATCCGTACTATGGGCCTCAAAGGGTTAATAGGCTGTACTTTATCCGTCTTTGTCTTAGCCGAAAACAGACATGAATGTGGAACCTTTTCACTCACAGATGCATAGAGCTCAATTCTGAGTAATATGTTAGCTAATATCGATACAAGTAAAGTGAGCGCACTCATGCCACGAGAACAATGGAACAATAGTTTAAGATTTCCATTTGTCTCGTGGTATGAGTGTGCGCTCACTTTGCTTGTATCGATATTAGGTTTCTTGTCTCCACGCCGACTTTTTACTATGATAGCTGTTCTTCTTATTATTTATTTGTCTTGTTTCGTGTTTGTTGTTCACAGGACCTGCTATCGTCCGCTCAGGCAGAGACCGCATCGCTGAGGGACGATCGCGCGGCCATGACGGAGAAGTTCGACGCGCTCATCGCCGACCGGGAGATTGTCATCGGCGAGCGGCGTCACCAGGAAGAGGAGCTGCAAGCGGCGTTGCGCAATGTCGACGGCTTGAAAACGCACAACGACGGCCTGCAGTCGCACCTCAAATCCACCATCATCGAGAAGGACGTGAGTTGTAGCTCTAGTTCCCCTGTGCTCGTTTCCACGACACTTCTTATTGCATACTGTAGACTCCCAAAGATACCGAATTTCCCCGAATACAAGTCGCACCTTTTCACACTAAACTTCAAGGGCAATGAAGGGGATGCGACTTACAATCGAGTGTGACATCCTTCTTACGTGAAGATAATGAAACAATATGGCTCGTAAGAAAGTTTGCTGCGGATCGCAATGGATGGCGGCAGATTATCTGAAGGAGTCGCCACAACTGCCGGATATTGACATACATAATGGACAGAGCTAGAGAACAGCAGCGGAAGCATGTATAGCACTGCTGTGCATGTTGTACGCGTATCTGTGTTATTATTATTATTATTATTATTATACGGCTCAAACCTAAACGTGGGGATGTGACTTATAATCGAGTTCTACTTAGAATTGGGGAAATACGTTGAGCTCGCCGGCCCTAGGTAAAGGGCGCACGCAGAGAGGCTGCTTGATTTCTTTCGCCGTTTGCGAGAGACTCGGTCAGTCCAAGCACATTCGCATTCCTGGTTGAAATAGTTTGTTGTTGCAAAAAAAAAAAAATCTTCATGCGGTCCGTCTATTCATAGTAGTACTATGTTTTTCATTTCATTTCACTCCTTCCTATCGTGGAGTGTGGCTGGTGATCTGTTCGTGCTGTCGTCTGCTAGCGTCATGTGCTCTCGTCGGTTCAAATGAAAAACCTATTTATATACTACTACTATTCCTGACTGATACAAAGAAAACAATGTGCGTTCTTACTGCTTTTTTCTGATGTATTGGTGTGTTGTGCAGAATGTTACGAGGGATCTGCAAGCTCTGACGGCGCAGCACGACCTGTCACGTGATGAATGCAGATCGTTACAGTCGCAAGTAAGATCTTGCGTGTGCATATGTGTGTGCGTGCGTGTATGTGTGTGTGTGTGTGTTGTGTGTGTAAGTATGTGTATCCAGTGCCACTTCATAGCTGTGTGGTGTAGACCGGGCTGAATAGTGGTGGTCAATTCTTCACCCTGTCAATGGGCGTCAAAAGGTGAAAAGGTATCCAGTGCATTTGCAGATTTGTGGGTTTCTCTTGCAACGGCCGTATACATGGTATACATATGTGGTGTGTGTGTGTGCGTGCTTGCACGAATGTGTGTTTGCACGTGTGTACATGCACGTACCCGTATATTCTCTATTATAAGCGCCGTGCTTATATTTTTTCAACACCCTTCTACCCCGCGCTTATATTGGAGACTGCGCTTATATTGGAGACTGCGCTGATATTTTTTCAACCAATACATCCATACAGAGCAAGAAGAAATACATGCTAGATATCATGCATGCAGCATTGATTTCCACCAAGACCGTGCTAATAATAGAGACTGTGCTTATAATGTTTCGAAAGGTGCTCACAGTGTGCTAGTATTAGAGACTGTGCTAGTAATGGAGACCTGTGCTTATAATACAGAATATACGGTATGTGTATGAGTATGTGTATGTATGTATATGTGCGTGTGTGTGTGTGTTTATGTGTGTGTGTTTCTGCATTTGATTGCTTTTGCTCATGTCTTGCAGGTCACACTGCTGGAGCAGAGTGTGGTGGATTCGTCTGCACGCGCGGCTGCTGTCAGCGAGCTACACGTCAGCGTCTCAGAAGAGCGTGACATCATCACAGGACAACTTGAATCGAGCAATCTGGCCCTAGAACAAGCCAACGCTGACCAGGCCAAACTCCGGCAGGAGAAAAGCGACATGTCGACCCAACTCAGCGAGGTCGAGCAGGCACGAGCGCAACTCGCAATGGACAACAGTGCTCTGGAGGTGCGAGCGTCGAGCGCCGAGCACGCATTGAATGAGGTGCAAGGCCAGTTGACGAGCGCGAGGTCCTCCATGGCAGGCGGCAGCCAAGAACTGGGCGAGCTCCGTCAGCGGCTCAGTGAGGCGTCCAGCAGGCTACAGCAAGCAGAGCAGCAGCGCGAACAGCTCACGTCGGACATGGTAGCTCTGCAATCACGAGCATCGACCGCAGAACAGGGTCTGAGCCAGGCAAGAGAGGAACTATCAACGGTGCAATCAGCCATGGCCGGCGGCAGCCAAGAACTGGCAGAGCTTCGTCAGCAGCTAACCGAATCCTCTAGCAAGCTACGTCAAGCGGAGCAAGAGCGTGAGCAGCTCGCGTCCAACGTGGGAGCTCTGGAATCACGATCGTCGAGTGCTGAGCAGGCCTTGAGCCAGGCGAGAGAGGAACTGTCCACTGTGCAATCTGCCGCAGCTGGCGGCAGCCAAGAACTGGGCGCACTCCGTCAGCAGCTCACCGAATCATCCAACAAGCTACGACAAGCGGAGCAGGAGCGCGAACAGCTCTCGTCAAACATGGGTGCTCTGGAATCACGGGCATCGACCGCAGAGCAGAGTCTGAGCCAGGCAAGAGAGGAGCTATCAACGGTGCAATCAGCCATGGCCGGAGGTAACCAGGAGCTGTTGTCGCTACAGATGACGCATGCCAGTGTTGAGCAGGAACGCGACTCTCTGCGCTCCGATGCCGAGGCCACGTTGACTCGACTCGCCGACTCTGAGACGCGGCTGCATGCAGCCGAGGCTGAACTGAGCTCGTCGCGGTCGCTAGTCGAGGAGTTACAGCGTGATCTTGCGGCTAGCACAGCAGCTACCGATCAGCAGGCCGGGTAAGCTTTGTGTTGCTTTCTTGTCCCCCCCCCCCCCCCTTCTGCCATCCCTGCGGCCATTGCGGTTATCAGAGCATGAGGATTGGCACTGCACATACAAACTGCCGTTTAAATCCAAGAAGGGATTATGTCCCGGAGCTAAAGTCACTGTGCATGTTGTGTGATGCGTCGTTCCCCTAATCTTCCTTTTCTTTCTCGTCGCTGTCTCTTTATATCACTATCCAAAGGAGTAAAATTTGGCAAACTGCATGAAACTCTTTCTCTTTCTCATTTTTTCATTCTACTATCTCCTCACGCCCAAACAGGTCCGCCATGGCCGTTCAAGAGCTGGAGATGGAGCTGAGAGTGGCCCGGCAGTCTGCAGAGCTCTCGCAGAGTACTCTGGCCGACAAGGAGCGGGCCATCACCAAGGCTCGGCAGGAGAACAGCCGCCTACTGGAGAGTCTGCATCAGACGCAGAGCAGCGAGGATGCACTGCGCGTCGACCTGCAGACGACCAGGAAGCAGCTGCATACGGCACAGCAGGAAGTGGTCGCAGCAGCGGCAGCAAGCACAGCGATGACGTCTACCGCAAGCTCTGGAGTGACACGCGCATCTCCAGGTATGGGCAGTTACGGTTGTTGTATCTCTGTGTGCTGTTTTGTTTGGTGCCCGCTTGTCTATCTGTTTACTACTACCACAGATGCATGACAAGGAGTGCATTCCGACGATCCCCCAGCCATGAGAGAGAATGTGTGCGTGTGCGCGTGCGCGTGTGTGTGTGTATATCGGCATGTGTGTGTGTGTGTGTGTGTCTGTGTGTATGTGTTTGCGTTTGTTTATGGTTACTTTTGTAGACGGTGGTGACTCGTCACATGACGCGCTAGCATCCGAAAATGCCGATCTCTCGTCGCAGGTAACGTAGCAACGTGGCACCTTGTCGTATTGACTGTACATTGGTGTCAAGAACATTTGCCAAGCAGGGCTATGACATGTAAAATCCAACCCATGAAGGCCTGGTGTTCAGCTCCTTCGTGGAGTACTCCCAGTACAGGTCTTCCCTCATTTGCGGACAACGCCTGGGGCTTCGAAATGTTTGTCTTGCAACTGGTATTATTTACTATCCGGACTTGCATGTGCGGAGATTTGTCCTGTAACCGATGTCGTACTAACGAGGTTACTGTGGAACGGCTAAATTTAGCGGGTACATTTTTCAGTGTCTTCTGAATCTGGACCAATTCACCATGAACTATTTCAGCGATCCGAGTTTCAGACTTTGTGTTAAAGAAGGATGAATTGTACTGTACTGTATACGTGCAAATTTTCGATTGGCGCTGCAAAACTTTTGGCGAAAACACTCCTTTCGCTAAAGTCGCTAACGTATCACCACCGCTAAGATTAGCCGTTTTACAGTGGACCTGTGGTGCTATCTCTTAATTTGCTGGCCGAAAATCCTATATATAGGATTTGAAAATGTGTGCCTTTTATGCCGTTGTTATTGGTCATCACGACCAATAATAACGACATAATGGTTTTCATGGAAGTTATTTTAAATATGTTTGAGGCATGAATGTTTACATTTTAGATTCATAGGGCGATAATATTTCTGATGAATACCCATTTTCAGCAATAATTGGAAATTTGAGCATAATTGTTCAGCTGCTGTCATGGAAAGGACTGAAGCAGTGAATGTGCAGAAGAACATTGCAGGTGTGGCATGGGGTGGTTTCATGACGACATATCGCACATGCCGTCATGAAACTACCAGTTTTAAGGATAATACAAGGTCCAATAAAATCTCAAATCCTATATATAGGATTTGAAAAATAGGGCACAGGCCTTAGTAATATTGGCCAAGGAAATGAGCCTGAGATGGTAAGATTTTGAAAAAATTATCTTATTCAACTCTCGATATCTACTAAGACCTAGCAAGGAAGAATTGGTCACATACTTTTTGCTATTCTCATGCCACACCCATTTTGAGTTGAAAAATATGACCAAAATCCTATAATATATAGGATTTAGCAAATTAAGAGATAGGCTTTCCCGGTGGCAGAGGTCATGCCTGACAAGCAGGGACAGACAATCTGGTGACAAACAACCTGCAAGCTAACGAAAATACAACTCAACGGCGAGGGTCACAGCACTATAAGTCGCCAGCGAATATCAAACACAGAGGACTACAATGTACATGTACCTGTACCCACAGTTTAGTGTGAAGTCTTGATGTGATATGCTTATGCTCATCTTCTAAGCCACTCAATGGCTGTCCAGCCAGACCGACAATATATCAGGTGTGCTGCTGCTAGCAACTTCCCTGGTCTGCATGCCTTTAGTATTTACTAGCACACACACACCCATGCATGTGCACACACACACACACACACACACACACACACACACACACACACACACACACACACACACGCGCGCACACACACACACACACACACACACACACACATGCACGCGACCACAATGACACTATCCATACAGGTTTTTTTCCCATGCGCTATGTTTATGTTTCCGCATGCTCATGGCTGGATTTCATGTCCCAGCTGGACTTCGTACACACATAGTTACTGCTTTGACAGGTGTCATCTGTACAGTGCGTTGCTGGTGTAATGGTTAGCATAGTTGCCTTCCAAGCAGTTGATCCGGGTTCGATTCCCGGGCGACGCAAGTTTTTTTGCCTGCACTGAGAAAACGTTTAGCCGCGCTCAAATCAGTACTCCTATGCTCCACGATATATATAAGCTCACGGCATGCAGCGAAGGTGTTTTTGAGTGTAGGGAGTGGGCAGTAATGGATCTTTTTTAAGTTCTGAAAGAAAGAAAAAATGCATGGCCTCTTCGAGAAAGCGGCTCCTACTATCACCAATAGTACATACCCCCCCAGAGTGTGCAATACCTGATCCAGCTCTGCATAGGCTCTTGGTCGAGCGTAATCGGATCTTTGCATCATAATACCGTACAGATACAGGGAGTCGCACGGACTATCGGATCAAAACTATGGTGCCCTGCCTCGAGACCGGCCTTGCGCTGGTGCGGAGCGTACGCATGACATCAGAAGATCCGACTACGTTCGACCAATCCTCTATGCAGAGCTGGATCAGGCGTTGCACACTCTGGGGGGTTATGTACTCTTGCTATCACTAGTTTGTGCTGGGTCTTCATGCGGACTTGAGTGGCATTTATCGATCACCACTGTCAATGTCCATTCAGCCAATTTCTCAATTTGCACTGTTGCTTTTGTAACAAACAGTTGATTTTGTGCTCGTTGTTGAATGTTTGTGCATGTGTGTTTGGGATCAGGTTGACTTCCTCAATGGAGTAATTGTAGATCTACAGGTAAGCCAGCAGTGTGTGTGTGGGGAGGGTTCTGTGTGTTTGTGTGGGTGGGTGTGGGGGTCTGTTTTGTGTGAATGTGTGTGTGTATACGTGTGTGTGTGTGTATTTGTCTGTCTGTTTATGCGCATGTGCACGTGTACACATTTGTGTGTGCTTGTTTCTTGTATCCCAACCCGTGTGTTACGCCCTAATGCGCTTGTTTCTTGTATCCCAACCCGTGTATTACGCCCTAATGTGCATGTGTATGCGATGTGTATGCGCACTAGCGCCTGCGTGTGTGTGCATGTGTGCGCGTGTTGGTAACCACCCAGGAGAATGAGAAAGAGAAGAAAAAGAAAAAATTGAAAAAAAAGAAGAAAAAATGAAAAATAGGGATTCACTGGCCAGAAAAAGCCACTTCAATCAGCTGTGTGGTGGATACCAGGCTAAAATTAGTGGCAGTCAATTCATCAGCCTTGCAAGCTGTTGATTGGTGTAATCCCAGCACAAGTTGCTATGTCTAACATAGCTGTTCGCTATCATCGCTTCCCCGATGGGCATGTCTAAAGTCTAAGGTGCGCGTGTGTGTGTGTGTGTGTGTGTGTGTGTGTGTGTGTGTGTGTGTGTGTGTGTGTGTATGTGTGTGCGCGTGTGTGCATCCTTGCATTCATGCATGTAGCGGAAGTACGAAGAGAAGCGCAAGACGATCGAAGCGCTGGAGGAAGCCGGCATTGACATCAACAGCTTTGTGGACAATGACGATTCGTTGGCTGCTATCCAATTGTAAGTCTTTGAATGTTTTGTTTGGCGTTCCGTAGTACTGTACCAGCTGTGACTAAGTATCAAGAATAGTAGAAAGCTGTGGGAGTGACAAGGGTGTACAGAGGCTGTGGTGGAGCGTTAGCCCTTCCAGGGTTCTAGCCAGGTCAAAATAGTAGGGGGTCGGGCATGGGAAACAGTTACCCTATATCCCATTTTTCCACTTTCCAATATTGTCTTGCCACGCCAAATGCAACGTATGTGGCGAATCCCTGACTTCACCCCAGACAAATGTGCCTTTATGAACCATCTTTGCATGAAAAACACGAAAATCGGAAAATGAGTAGGGGGGCGGCAATTTTTCACAGGGGGGGGGGGGGGGCGGGGCAGGCTAACAGAGTAGGAGGGGGGGGGGGGGGGGCGCTGCGCGCCCCTACCCCCCTTTGGCTAGAACCCTGCATTCCCGCAGGAGAACTTAGGTTTGATGTATGGCGTGAACGTCCAGAGATACCCTTGCTCATGTAGGTTGGTATGCTGCCAGCTCTACCGTATTTCCCCGTAAGTTAGTACGTACTAACTTTCGAACTTAGCAGCCACATGAGTACTAACTTCCGGGGGTGGTACTATCTTTCGGGGAGTACTTTTTTTATCGGGGGTAAATGACACGCAGTGGGAAGCCTGCGCAACTCTAGTGTCCGTGCATATGATGTATGTACTGTACGGTGTCTGTACATGTAGGACGGGTACGTACTTACTGTCTTTCGAGGTGATAACCTCGGCAGTGGAAAGTGTATTTTTTATAGGGGGGTACTAAGTCATTGGGGAGAACTAACTTACGGGGAAATACAGTATTTGTGTTCTAAAATCTGAGTTGCTTGTTTTCTCCTTCCCGTGGCCAGGGAATGTAGGACAATATGGAGGGGAGGGGGGGGGGGGGGGGGGGCGATAGCCAGCCATGGCAGTAAGCAAAAACAACGCACAAAATATGATAAATTACAAGAGGCAATAACCTACACAGAGCGAGGCAAAGAGAAACGTGTGCAGTGTCCTTGCATGTGTACGGGAGGTCGGCCAGTAGTGCGTGCGTGCGTGTGTGGTACATGGTGAGTGTGTGTGTGTGTGTGTGTGTGTGTGTGTGTCCGATATGTTGGAAGGCTACCTTCTTGCCAAAGCATTTGGAGTTTCGGCTAGTTTCGGCTCCACGATCCAGTGTGCCGTTACTATAATAGCTTTCATGACTGAGGTTGTTGGTATGTCTGTTGGCTCTGGGTTTCCAGTACTCAGTAGCCGAGGCTGGTTGGTAAAGTAACTCCAATTTCACTTCAAGGTACCAGTGCATCTAGTGTCTGTTTCTATCAAAGCAGCGTGCTGTCTATACTGGTTACCCCAGCAAGTGTAGGGTGTGCATAGGTAACTATCTTGGCCGTTTTATACCGATGTACTCCGTGTGGTGTAGACCAGGTGTGCATCGGTGGTCGATTCACATGACTTCGCCAGTTGTGTGGATTAGACAGTTATCTGGCACAAGTCTTGATCTGTCTCATTCAGATCTTGTTCGCTATCGTTGCTATAAGAGAAAATCTGTGGGTGCACATCCAGTGCATTTGCAGATTTGCGTGCTTCTCTTGCGACGGGCGTATACATGGTACAAGGTGTGTGTGTGTGTGTGTGCTTGCGTGCGTGTGTGTGTGCAGTACGGTTTAGGCATCAGCTCAATATTTTCTCTGATTTTCTTTTTTCCTGTGTCTTTATGTATGTTTATACCTGTCCGTGTGTCTGCTGTTGTATCTTCGTTTGCTTCCTTGCTGCAGCGCCGTCAGTAACGAGGAGGCCCTTTCCAATCGCCCCGAGCGTCTGTTCTGCGATATCTGTGATGTATTTGATCAGCATGACACGGATGATTGTCCAACACAGGCTGCTGAACCCGAGCCCGTAGCTGAGTCACAGAACCGCGTTTCACGGCACGTTGAGCGACCATTCTGTGACTCATGCGAAGGTACGCTATGCTTACCACGCTGGGTTGATACCTATGTCAGTCTCGTACTGGCTCTCTCTCTCTCTCTCTCTCTCTCTCTCTCTCTCTCTCTCACACTCACTCACACTCTCTCTCTCTCTCCCTCACACACACACATACTTTCTCTCTCATGCTCTATCACACACGCTTCCATTCCCACATGCCCATCGCTGTAGCGATATAGCGAACAAGCTATGTTGGACATGACTATCTGTGCTGGGATTACACCATTGAACAGGTTGCAAAGGCTGAAGAATTGATCGCCACTCCTAATTCCTAGTTACTGGCAGTGCTCCGTCCCGACCTGCCCGGATAAGGGGGGGGTCTACTGCTCATACATGTAAGACCTGACGAGCATACATGCCAACCGTACAGGGTTTCCCGGGACAGTCCAGGGAATAGGGTGTTTGTTCCGGGGTCCAGGTATGTGCTGCGAAAGTCCAGGGGTTAAAATGGGATCTATTGAAATCGAATTTCTCCTTTTTATGACGCTTTATCAGTGTTTCCTCGAACTTGTAGATCCGTTGCACACAGCACATAGTAGTCAGATGTAGTAGACTGAAAATACATACGGAACTGCAACGGGTCGCCGGTATAACGGTAGCCAACAGAAAGTTTACTTGTGCAGTTACAGCTCAATCAAGTCAATGCAATCATTGCAATGACAACCCTTGTGATTGAGCGGCACCGATCATGAAAAATACAACTGCTAATGATGGATGCGCGAAAAAATTGATGTCCAGGGAAAACGGACAAAATCAAGGGAATTCAGCCTCGTTGCCCAGGGAACTCAAGCCTCCTGGTTGGCATGTCTGGACGAGAGTGTTTGGTTTTGAACGTTTCCCATTGTTCTGGCTGTTATTTTGTTTCTCTTTGTCCCTGTTCAGTGTTTGGCCATTGGACTGACGACTGCAATGAAGATGAGGTGCGTAGGCTACACGGCACTGGATCATTAGAAGAGACAAGTGTAGTCGTCCTTCTTTAGTAGGAGTGAAGCGATTACCCTTTTGACTGCCGAACAACCTAAACCTTTATTGATCGGTTATCGGTTATTTTTTGATTATTTCTTCCACTGATAAAAGCAGTATTAGAAGCTGAAAAAAGCGAAAATTTAGAATTTGAAATTGATCCTGTGTTGAAGAAATTTTCCTCGCACATCGCTGGTCGATCTAGTCATACGTGACAATCATGCACAGGTGTATACTGTATGCATAATAGAGTTATCCAAACTTTTCGAATAATCGATTCGTTAGCTTGTAACGATTTGTATTTCGAGTATTCGGTATACAAAGGCACACAATGAAAACCTTGGCGAATTCGGTGTAATCGTTTCACCTCTACTCTTTAGTCCAGCACACTTTAGAGACCAGCACCTTCAATGAACCAATAGTAATACCTTTTAGTAACCAACTTGTGCCCACTGTCCAGGGATGCACGGTATGTACAGTGGGACAAACGTTGTGTAGAGCAGAACACAAAAGAGCGTCTTATACTCCGGAAAATACGATAGTTCTGGCTGGTGCTCGATATTGGAGTGTTGTGATGGAAACCGCGTTTGTTCGCTGTGTCTGTGCCTCTTTTTCTTGTGAATCGCAGACATTTTAGATGCTCCACCGTCTTCTGTCGATGGAGCCGTCTTCTGTGGATGGAATCGTCTTCTGTGGATGGATATTCAGCGGCGAACCTGCTGCTCCAGTCCAGCTACAGGCAGCTTCCAGCTGAACGGTGCCTAACGCCTTTTTTGGTATTCCGCTGTCTGATGCTGACGGTTTGTGCCTGTGAGCTGTGTGTGCGTACTGCCTGCTAGCCCTGCAGTGCCCCCGTTCCCACGTCGTTCCTGCACACTATGTTCTGTTCAGCGTGTGGATACTTAAGCTTGCTACCAAGAACTGGTAGCTGTACCGTTCGAAAACACTTTTGAATGAAAGGTTTTCGTTTTTTACATAACGCTCGGAAGGCCCACTGCGAAAAACCTACATGATAGTTTCATATTTACCAGGTATAGATGGAAAGTATTTTTTTGCTTTTACGAATTATTTTTGTTGGCATCCGTGCAGCATACACTCCGCTATGCGTACATCACCAACATGCACTTGTACATATCAATCTAGCTAAACCTGAGCTAGAAGAAGCGGCTACATACTCGTACCGTGCGATGAGCTGATTCGCTTTGCGATCTCTGCGTCCCTCCAATCTTGGCTTTTTTGAGGGAATTCGTCGTGTGCCGTGCGATGAGCTGTCTCGCTTGCTATCTCAGCGCGTTCCTTTTGTTCTTGGTTTTTCAAGGGCTTTCCCTGCTGGCTGCCCGTGCTGTCGTGCAAGGTGGTTTCTCGTATGCTTGTCTTCGATGCTAGGGTAATGTGTGTTCTTTCTCTCTCTCTCCCTCTCTCTCTCTCTCTCTCTCTCTCTCTCTCTCTCTCTCTCTCTCTCTCTATCTCTCTCTCTCTCTCTCTCTCTCTCTCTCTCTTTCCTCTAATTATCCGCCTTTCCTTTATTTCGTGCTTCATCTGTGCTCAAAAGTTTTTTTACTCTTTTTGTACACTTAGGACCTTCGGAAAACCATATTTTTACCAAACCCTTTTAGAATATCATGCCGAATGGCAACATCTGCGTCGGAAATGTCTTTGTTGCCTGTCGTCTGTCTATGCTGGCGAAGAGTGCAATAACAGCACACGTTGTGTTGCCTGGCATGACTCTCTCTTTCTCTCTCTCTCTCTCTCTCTCTCTCTCTCTCTCTCTCTCTCTCTCTCTCTCTCTCTCTCTCTCTCTCTCTCTCTCCCTCCCTCTCCCATCGCCTTCTGCTATGCCTCTAGTCTGTGTGGGTGTGGACTGTGGAGACAAACGATATGGGTCACAGACATTCACACTTTGCTGCTACTACTGCTACTGCTGCCAGCGCTGCTGACGGGGTGCAGATGGGCCTGTGGGTTTCCAGCCGGGAGTCGTAAAACCCTCACAGGGTTTTGCGACTCCCTGCTGGAAACTGTTATGGCTCGCTGGTTTCCAGCAATTACGCTGTGCTGTTGTTGAATTGAAATTTGGGATCAGTATTTTTCCACTTGAAATAACATCCACCCCAATGCCTCATTCTTAGCATTCTTTTATTCGCTTCCATGTAATTGGGCTTCTTGCCCGTTTGGTATTGCGAATTCAAATAAAAAACAACAACAACAACAACAAATTTGAAAGAACACAAGAACAAGAAAATTAATTATTCTGAAAAAGCGAGCATCATTCTCAGGACAACAACGAACAGGAACAAAACGGTTCTCATCCCCGTCATACGGCCATGGAAATGGGATGGGATTTCTGTGTGGAGGCCCGCCACTGTTGGAAAATATACTGAGTCTGTTCGTGGTCCCTTTCCAATGCAGACAGCCCGGTGCTCTTGAAAGCATGTAAAGAGCCTGTGTATGATAGTGAACCGTGTCCCGTGCATGTGAAACTCTGCCGTCACAACACAGAGACTGGATTGACGGCATCCGGGTAAATCTACCGGTCGCAGGATTCAAAAGCTTTCAACCCTTCCCCCACAGGACTCACACACACACACACACACATACAAACACCACAATACACTCTCCTGTTCATGCCTTCCCAGTCCAATGCGATTGCAGACCTGAATAATCGAGGGTCAGATTGGTCCACTTCTGGGACAGCACTGGAAAACCCATTCATAATTTCATATCAATATGGTTTTAAACTGTATTCAAGGACAGTTCTCTTGAATCATGGAGTATATAATAACGGAGTATGACGGTAACACACGCAACAGAACATGGCAACCAGCGGTGGTTACTTAGAGCAATAATAAAATCATACTGTATATATCACTGTAGTTATAATTGATAAATATAAGCATTGAAACGTTGACAGCACTCAACACAACAGCTCAAAACATTGCGTAGAACACCAGCAGGGGAAGAGGATAAGCTATAGAACGGGTTTTGGTGGTAGTGTAAGTCAGCGACGGACACCCCGGGGTCCAGGGAGCGTCAAAAGTCCGGTAGAAAGCCTTAGCAATAAGTCGCAGGCGGCGAAGGAAGCAGCGTGCGTGCGCCTCGACGGCAATAGAAGAGAAATGTGCTGCACGGCAGTGTGCAGAATTGAAAGTTCGGTCGCAATGATCGCGGGATTGGCCCCGGGAACATGCAAGAAGGTAATTTGTTGGCTGAAACGGCGCGCGTGGAACAGCCGGCCAGAGTGGAAGACCTCCGGAAGGCACCGTCACGCTACGGCCGTGGTGAAGGGTGGCATGAATCACATCGATGAGCGATCAGAGGCAGCAGAAAAGACCGGAGTATAATATGACGCTCCGGCTCGTCACAAACATTTGGCAAAGCCAGCACACTGAACTATGGTACTGATAGAAGTAACAGGTGTCGACAGAAACCAATCGTACCGCACACAAATAATACATGGGTATCATTGGACATGGATGACCAGCATCAGCGAGCATATAAACTGAAAGAAACATGCGCACGTACACCCACACACACACACACACACACACACACACACACCACACACACATACACGCACGCACACATACGCACACACACACACACACACCAGGAGTGGCGCTACACTGCCACCATTATGGTCCAAGAGCGGCAGGCTGCTGAACACAGGCGTGCCCCGTGCAACCCGGCGTAAGGCAAACGTATAGACGAAGCCACACCAGGTGGCCTTATCTACCGGGAGCAACCAGGCTCGGCACGCTCTCGGAGGAAGGAACAGAGTGGGCATCACGTACCGCTGGCACACTCTCAACGTCGCGGAGCTAGCGCGATGCCTAGCAAGATAAACACGGCTGCTGCAGTGACGAGAAGAACGCCGCCAACCGTCAGCGGAGTAACGGGCTCCGCTGCTGCTGCGTCTGCCGGGCACACGTCTGCAACAGCGTTGGCGCCGGCTGCATAGTCGGTGTCGTCTGCACCTGCATGGACGGTGCCCGCCTGTGTCTTCTGCTGAGAGTAGTTGAGCAACGCCATCTGCAGAACCACGCAAACACGAGACGGGCAAACACGGACAGCAAGGAACAATCACAGATCAAGCACTGGTCCGTTTCCACATCAAACGCACACAGAAAATTCCAGCAGAGTGAAACTGTGGAGTACAAAATTAATATCGTATTTTCCGGAGTAAAGGCCACACTTCAAACACCAGTAATTCACCCTTGAAAAAGTCGGTGCGGCTTACACTACGATGGTCGATTTAATGGTGGTGAATGGGGTCGATGTATGTATTTTTGTGGAAAAAAATCTCGGTGCGGTTTATACTCCGGAGACTACGGTTGTGCCGTCGTGGACACATGGAAATCCGGTAGCACGTCTAGCGGCCCCAGGGCACTGGCCATGCAGCCGTGGGTAAGCTGTACCACCAGTACACAACCGCCAAGAGTGTGCAACTCCAGCCATGGGGTCTGCGACGGCAGAACGTCACGTGATGAACACATACACATTATTCGGACTTGGTGCAGATGTGTGCGCTGGAAGTTACATTTTTTCTCGTTGCATCAGGTATAGAGCACATGCACTTTTTTGGACACTGCCTAGTACCCCGTTTCCAGTCAATAACCCTCTAATACAGTGAACCTGTCTAAGACGACCGCTCAAGGTACCTTCAAAGTGTGGTCTCTGTAACCAGGTGGTCTCCTTATCCAGGGTCATTTGACTGAAAATAGCATCCCCTGGTAAAAGTTGCAGTGGTCGTCTGGGACAGGTGGTCGCCTTATCCGAGTGGTCGCTGCCTTGACAGGTTTTACTCTAGTACATTGTACTTAAGTAGTACGTTCTTTTTCCGACCAGACGGGGCCACACGACGCTTGCAAACACCAGCACGAACAAACGAAGATGGCATCATCGAATTTATAATGATGCCATGGTGTTTCAGAACAGTGGAAAGAAGCAAACCGCGCCAGGATCATGCCGATAACATTATGCTCAAAAGATTCTTCACCAGTCCAGTGATCTCGGCTATAGAATGCCTTGACTACGTTCCACTGGAGTTTTAATAATTATTTGTAAACTTGTGTTGTATAATGACCTTTTATGCATCGGACTATTATGTACCATATCTGTGCCTCTACTTTGCTATTGCTTTCTGTTCTGGAACTTTGCCATGCAGTGAATGCGGCTGTACTCGTCTCGTGAGGTCAGATTTCACTCGCCGACTCTGGATTAAAAGTCCGCAACACATTGGACATAAGCTAGTCATGACAGTCCTTCACCTGTACTGTAGGCTGTAGTGCAGCTCAAGAACATTCCCCGCGAAAGGGCATCTGAAAATAGCAACCGCTCATCAGTACTGCATAACGTCAGCAGGATGGCGCTAAAACATCGGCCCAGCGCTGATCACCAGCCGTCAGACTTGTTTTGATGACAAGGCGCTGCATGAGATTACATCAGACATAGTCCCAGCTCCCAGCACTCCAGGCCGACAACACAACAGCACGCATGTCACCGCGCGACCGCGGCCCGTCAAAACCGCCGCCCCGGGACGTCCCGTTGCCCTGGGAGACACGCGCGCACCGCGTTTCCCGCCGCTCGGTGGCATTGTGTGGGCTCGTGCACGCCTGCGTGCCCGGCAAGCCAATCTGACAGCGTGTCAACTCGGTCAGTACCCAGAGAAGCAGAGACCACCACAAACTGCAAACAACATCACGCATAACCCATTCACACAGAGAGCCAATAACAGCGCAAGGCGACACTCGGAAAGCGCAATCGGCCGTCGGATGCTACACTGCTCCCATGCCTGCTAATGTGACGGCACAATGAGCTCATGCGTGTACTTTGAGCTACGGAACGAGGAAACGGTAGAGATCTTCAAAGGAAGTATGCGAACACCCAAATTTTATATCCACACCAGGTTCTGCTACCCTTGGTGCCCCTCCATGATGGCTGTGCGACGTCAGGTGATACATACTAAGAAAACTAAGGCCGGAGAGCTATCTCACCCAAATCCAATGGCCAGAATGGTGGAAAGCCAGGAGACTACAACAAAGCCTACTCTTTACATGATAACGATTTTCAGTTGAGCAACGCTCATGCGCATGGAAAATGATACAAGGCTCTGTAAACAATACACACACGCTGAGCAGTCACGGTGTGCAAGCATACTGATGCCGCGGCGCGTCCGTTTTGTTCTTCTTATCATCGAACCGTGCATGTAAACCAAAACACACAACTAACTACAGCGTACATAGCCATAGTAACTGTACTCACCCATCCGCCTTGAGATTCAACCCAGGCAAGAAAGTTGTCCGCGATGAACTTCGCCGCCCAGGCCAGCACCGTGTCCTCTCGGCCCATATGTTGGGCAATGGCGTGGCTGAAGAACAGGAACGCTGCGATCGTCTGCCAGCTCATTCGGCCGCCATCTGGAACGAACTTTTCCTTCCCTACCCTTTCGAAATCAGGGTAGATGATGTTTCTGATCAACACCAACTCACCTACACCTTTGCAAGCAAGCTGCTTGGCCTCCGCTGCATCTCCAATGGCCGCGAGCCGCTCCACAACAAGCTCGCAGGGTGATTTTGGCGAGGAGTTGGAGTGTCGGGCTTCCGCCGTTGAATTAGCTCGGCTTGGCATGATCAGCTTCTTCAGGCTGCCTCTCCGCCGCATCAACAGGGTTGCAGGCCCGTCCGAGCAGGCCTGGTCGTCCTGGTCCCATTGTGCACACTGACCAGTGATCCTTTCTGTCAGCACCTCACTATCACGGGCACAATCAACGGTAGTAAGTCCATTGCTGCTCTCGCCAACTGTTTTTAGTACAGGATCTTCAACGACAAAATCATCCGAATCATCTTCCTGGTCGGCTTCGGCCAGTGGAGGACAATGGCTTTTCGCGGAAGCGCCTAGCTGGACGTTCGTGCTGTTGTTGTTGTCCTGCAGAGGTTTGAGCCTCTGTCGTCTGTGGTCGCCGGACTTTCTCTGTCCGCGTAGCAAACTCGGATCCTCACTGAACGACCTTCGCAGTCCAAAACGAGTACGGTTCGCGGCGGAAGCTGACGCAACGGGCCAGGCGTCGACGGAAGCATCACTGCTGTCGCTCCGGCGTGAGAAGAACTCCAAGACCAAGCTTTGCGTGGGAACCTCCACAATGGACGGGGTCGGACAAGGGCTTGCGCTCGCCATGGTTGAAGAGAGAAGGAGGACGTGCACTACATTCAAGTAGTGTCAGAGAAAGGTAAAACAATTTGGAGGACAATCAGATTGAAACTGTGCCAACAGAAAAAAAGTCCCAGCGATGCTGTCAGTTTCTTTTCAAAGAATCGAATCATGCAGCCACACTGCAGTACTGGCCCACAGCTCTGACAGCATTCGAAAGTCATGTAGCGCTAGCGCCCATAGTAGATGCGTAGCGGCGCAGCGCAAGACCCAAGTGGTGTGACCAGGCCAGGTGTAGTGACGCTACCGCCCGGGCCGTTTTTAGCACAGTCGCTGACGCTGAGTCAGTACTCGTACATGTTGTCATTGGGCCCTAGTATAAAAAAAAATGAATAATAATCATGCATGCATTGTCGGCGACGTTGACATGACATGACTGTCCCATGTCACCATGGCATGTGTAGTAGTCTGTAGATCTACGCTGTACATGTATACAGTCACTGAGTCAGTGCTGGACTGCTGGCCAGAGAAATCCAACCTCATGAATAAAGTAGCGTTAGACTCAGTACTATGGTGTGTAGACCAGTACTACTAGGCCTAGGGTTATTATTATTATTTATAGGGTCGTCCCTCTAGGATCAAAGGCGCAGATGCAGCGCCTAAACGGTGGGAGGTGAGTAGATCAGACCCACCACCAAGTGGTCAAAGACCGAAATCCCATTAGCTGCATCCATGTTACCCTCGTGCCAGGCCACGAGTTCCCAATTAACTGTGGTCCACAAATATCGATGTTTTTTTAGAGAAGATGTTCGTTCGTTTGGGGGGGGGGGGGTTGGGCCCTGTTCGTCTCGTGTGTGCAGAAAAAAATATCGAACTCTATCTATGGACGGGCGCTGTTCGAACATGTAGTTTATGACCTACACAAAGTGAAAGTCAACCTCGTGAGCATAGCCATGGCAAGGTTGTGCGACCGTGGCAAAATAAACCTAGGTGTATGGTGAAATTAGAGTGGCAGCTGGTCACGTTTCATGAGGAAATTGAACTTCATTAAAAAATATCGATGCCTTGCATAAACATGTTTATGTTCGTTTTGAGGGGGAAGGCCGGAGGGGTCTGGGAAGAAATGAACAAATATCGTCTTGAAAAAAACATCGATATTTACGGACGGCCCCTTATTATTTAAATTTGCGTAGCACCCGAGCTATTTCATTCAAGAATTTGGATTTCTTTGGCCAGTCTAGTACTGTAGGAGGTGGTCTGCTATTATGTAACATTTTTGAGTGAATTATGCATTCCTCGGGTCTGTCGGTGTCAACATGAAGTTTCTTTTTGGCCGTCTGGAGCTATCTGGGGCGTCTGGAGTTGCCAAAATATTGGCGTCATGGAAGGTCGGCAAGGCCTGTTGATGCACGCCCAATTCGTAGGAAGTACATGTTCATGTAGATGAAATTAGTAGATTATGTGAATGTTGACGTCCCCCTGGTCAGTCATCATGTGTATGCACCTAAAATCGATAGAGCAATGTTACAAAATGGTAAGCCTCTGAATGTGGAAGAGAAAAAGACATAATAAAATAATTATGGATACGAGTTAAGAGTAACTCTCCCTCTAAGTTCTGAATTTATAGTAGAGATGACGCACGTTATTTCTGACGTGACGCGAAAGTTCAGTTCGCGTTATTTGGCTCGCACGTCGTCCTAGGGGCTCCCGTAAGAAGACCATAGGTCTGTGGGAAACACCCTAGTAAAATAAAAGTTAATAATAATAATAATAATCAACAGGAGTGAGTCGGAGTGACCTGCTGCTCACGTCGAAATTTGGAGTTTTACGCCAAATTTGACGTGAAATTGCGCGTCACGTCGGAAATAACGTGCATCTTAACCTCTCTAATGGTAATACTGTACAGTGTACATGTACATGTACATGTACAGTGTACGTGGTTGGCACTGGTTGCATGGGAAATATCTGTTGTACATATACCGGTATTCGATAATCATATCCATTCGTTTATCAACAGCGACTATAGTGATTAGTCGAGGGGCAGGAAGGCCAATAACTCCCATTGTTCTCTCTTTTCGGGCATTGCTGTTGGTCATCTTGGCATTCGTCCCTGCCACTCCTGTTCCGATAGAACGTCTCACGACGATAATTATTGTGATACTGATGAGCTTCCTTGGGCTTGTTACGCTTAGCTAGAGGTACGAGAATTCCTGATCTAATAGCCGTCGATAAATTGGCACCCTGCGAGAGCGCAGCGTCGACGAAATTTTCTATAACCGGCGCAAGCACCTCAGATCCCTATCGCAGGAGCTCCGCTGGCAATTTATCCGGGCCACAAGCCTACCCATTTCGCAGATGCTTGAGGGCAGTGACGACTTCAGATTGGGAGGTGGGAGTGGCGAGGCAGTGTGTTGATGGCGGTAGTATTTCACCTGCATGCTGTGTTGGCCCTGAATTGCGAGGAGAAGTGTTTCTATAGTAAAGAAAAGGACCAAGGAACTACAAGTTACGCTACAATATGTCCACTAAACACAACCACTTAATAGCTCATACGATTGCACACACTGACCGACAGTGCTCTCGTTCTATTTTTATTTTATTTTATTCTTATTTTGCTAGGGAATTCCCAACAGGCGTCATCGCCTTCTTACAGGGAACCCTAAGAAAGTCTTGATGGATGATCGAAATTCAGCAGGTGAATTACAAAGGCGGTAAGCAGGTGGCAGTGCATTCCACCGGTCAGCGCCTACGTACGAAATTGCACTGAAACCATAGCGTGTGCTAGCAGGGAGAAAAACAAGCGCGGCAGACACCTGACCACGGGTAAGGGCAGCAGTGTGAGCACCGTGAGCACGACGAGTAAAGCGGTCTTGTAGGAGAGAGCAAGCAAGGCCATTCATTCAGCGATAGACAAAACATAGGTCCTGAGATTGAGGCGTTGTTCAAGGGTGTATAATATTGGTGTTACTGAAGAGAAGGGCAGTTGGGGCCATTCTATCCAAGGGAAAATTCTTAAAAGTGCTAAGCGGCTGGCAGCAAGAAGTTTGTTATAAAGAACTTGCGATAAACAGTGTACATATGCGGTGCTGCCATACTCAAGAGTAGACTGAATTATAGAGCGGTAGAACAGTCGCTTGCCAAAGATACTGATATTTTGCATGCACAAAGGCTCCTACTTTCTTGTTAGCAGATGTACACACCGCTGCTACTTGGTCTGAAAAGGATAGATGCTCATCGACTAATATTCCTAAATAGCGGGCGGAAGCAGAGGGGGCAATGGGGGTGTCATGACAGAGAACTGTTGTACCAGGTGGCAGCTCTTTACCAAGGTGGCGAAGTATTAAAACCTGAGTCTTAGATGGATTCAATAAACATGATAAACGTCCTTTCCTTTCAAGATAGCCATCGAGGGCAGCCAGGTCTTCACTCAGTCGAGTAGTTACTGTTTGACACGAATGGCTCAAGTGCTTTGTCCGCACCAACTACACTGTAGCTGGACGACTGACAAGGGTATTTGTAAAAGGTCTCTTCTCATGTTGTGAATTTTCACACCAAATTTTTATTATTATTATTATTTCGAAAGAAAAGGTGACAGCACCGACGCAATCCACACAGTTAAGTAAGCCGATTTGGTAACCGAACGTTTTCGTTCGCTTCTCATCACGGGTAAGTACAGGGAATAATGGAAAAATGTCAAAATATAGCAACTTATAGAGCTACAGCAAAAGCATAGATCAAGAACCTCACGCTATACGTGTGGAAAAAATTGAATTCAGCAAAAACAGGTCAAACACAGGGTGAAGGTGAAGAAATGACTAAAACATAATGAAAACATCAGTGAGGAGAAGCAATGTTAAAGCAATGCCAGGTACACCGACTCGAAGAGTTACTCGCAGCCAGGTTTTGGGCAGTATTTCGCCTCAAAGTGCAGCCTGGGCGCCGACGACTTCCCCGCCAACCAACCAGGGACTGATTTCCCCCACGTTGCTCAGCGCACGGCTGAAAAGCTCTCAACGGTTCGGTTCCGCCCTGCCACTGTCAAGAGAGAACTCCGGCGCCTAAATGCATCGAAAGCTACTGGACTGGATTGCATTCCCGCGCGAGTTCTGAAGATGTGTGCTGACCCTCTAAGTAAGCCACTCTCCAAACTGTTCTCCCTTAGCTTCTACAGCATGGTTATGCCGACATCCTGGAAGACAGCTAGAGTCACACCCATTCACAAGAAGAAATCCAAGAACCTGCCTCAACACTACAGACCTGTGTCTCTGCTGTCTATCATATCCAAAGTGATGGAAACAATTGTCAATCGTCAGATAACCAGTTTCGTGGAGTCCCACAATGTCATCTCTGCGAAACAGTTCGGGTTCAGAAAGGGCCTGAGCACAGCCGATGTCTTAACCAAGCTCCACTGTGAATGGTCCCGAGCAGCCGGCCTAGGAGGAGCCGCCCATGTTTTGGCGATAGACATAGCAGGCGCCTTTGATAAAGTCAGCCATGCTGGCCTGCTGCATAAGGCTTCCGTGTACCCAATAAATAAAATAAATAAAAATAAAACGGTCAAGACGGCCCGCTTCTCGGATGGCTGGAAAGCTACCTGCACAACCGGCGCCTGCAGGCTGTTGTGGGCGGCCAAGAGTCCTCCCTGCACCATATCCAAGCAGGGGTACCACAAGGTAGCATCCTTGGACCAACGTTATTCCTCCTGTACGTAAATGACTGCGAGGACACCTTGCCTGCTGGTGCTGAGCTTGCCACATATGCAGATGACACGACACTGTATCAGTGCATCTCTACCACCGCCAGCATATCCGACTCTGCAGCACAACTCCAGGAAGCAGTGGACGCCGTCTCCCACTGGGGTTCCAAGTGGAAGGTCACCTTCGAGCCATCCAAATCTCAGGCCCTCATCATCGATCACCGCAAGCCTCCCCCAGCGTTCCCACCAGTGCTCTTCAATGGAGTGACTGTTCCTGAAGAGAAGGAAATTAAACTTCTGGGCATAGCATTCGACTCGCAACTGTCCTACGCAGCACACCTCCGGGCCGTGGCCTCAAAGGCTGCCCAACGCCTACACTTCCTGAGAAAGGTTGCGCCCCTGTTGGACTCCAGTGGCCGCACGGCAGTCTACAAAGGCTTCGTGCGGCCAACAATGGAATACTGCTGCC